CAGGTACAGGCTCCTCTTCATTAGGAGTAAAATAATCTGCATTATTCAGACATACAAACAAGAAAGACTATATTCCTAAAATCTGTGCAGTTGCTGGCTTTTGCCGATAGCATTGATATTGTGGAAATATGAAGGCAGCAATAGTTGAGGCCTTTTTGTGAGTTTGAGCCAGCAGCAAAAAAATATTGTTTTGACCAACAGTGAAGAAGAAACGGTACTATTCCGTTTTGAGGACCGTAAAAAAATTGCAGTGAAAATGTACACGCAAAAGCGCCAAATCTAGCAAATGCACCCATTTAACAGCGCACCAAATCTAGCGTACGCGCCGATTTCAGATTGCATAAGTTTATATAGTTCCATATTTCTTAAGACACTATTGAAATACTAGTTTAATTTTAAAATCCTTTTTGATTTTAAATTCTTTTTTGATATCCTATGGATTTAACAATTTGGGAATTGTCCACGATGAAAAGTCGGCAATAGAATTTTGGGTAAAGTGCAGAATCCCCCACTGCTTGACACGTTTTAAAGAATTGCACACTCAGTATCCATGTGCACATCAACCTATTTTCACTTAAAAAAACACCTTGAATTGCACAAAAATGGCACTGCGCACACCTTTGACTTTATCTATGTACACATCGACCATTTTTCACTTAAAAAGTAAAAGAAAATTGACAAAAATCCAATTGTTTTTACCCTGGTAAAAAGCGGCAAACAAATAAGTGAGCGATTCTGCACTTTACCGAGAATATTTTCAAAGTAAAGGCATCATTCATTATGGAAAATTACCTTTGAACAACCAACGAGATGAAATTATGCTTTAGTGATAAGTCGGTAGCGAAATAACGATGCAGGCAATCCATTCAGTTATGTCAATATTAAAATTCAGTAATGTTTATATTAAAATGTTTAGCAATTTTTTTATAAATTATAATAATGATCTGAAATAGTTATTTTACTCTTATGCTTCCATTCAGTCATGTTTAGCCTTTTCCATATAAATTATAATGATAAAAAAGTATTATATGAAATTAACCTTTCATCTAAATTAAAATATCAATCTTAGATAGTTATTTACTATTATACTTCCTTTCTTGTCGCAATTATTTTTGGCAGCATTGGCATCAACAATAGTTTGGCGATTTTTTACGGCCCTCGAAACCGAATAGTACCGAAGAAACTAAGCTCATGAGAGTTACAAACAGAATATTGTCTCCTCAAAAACAAACTATGTTTTTAAAGGGGTCATAAGTTGAACAATTTAAATACTTGGGTACAAATGCAAATAATAATAATGATATAATGAAATCGAGAACCAAATTGACATGTCTAACAGATGCTATTATGGATTACGAAACCAGTTTAAATCAAAATACTTAAGCAGTAAAACTAAAATACAATTGTAAACAACCTTAGTTAGACTTACAGTGTTGTATGGAAGTGAGCGCTGGACAATGAATAAAACAGATGAGGACAAAGTAATGACATTTGAACAAAAGATTTTGAGAAGAATTTTTGGAGCAGTAAGAACAAATGGAAAATGAAGTAGGGAGAATAAGATATAATTTTGAACTATAGCAAAAATTTAGAGAACCAAATATAATAAAAGTTATTAAAGACTCTCAACTAAGATGGCCAGGTCATATACACTACCTACCAATAAGTATCTGAACACCTGTGATAGAAAAGAAATACAAAATTTATTCAAATTGAATAATCAGTAAAGCCTCCATGAATGGCAATTACAGCCTCAATTTTCTTGGGCATGCTTTCTAGAAATCCTTGTATGATGGCTATTGGAATTTTCTTCCACTTGGCTTGGAGAAGACATGCAAGTTCCTTCACCAATATTGGATGGTTGTTGTGCCTTTTAATTCAGCAATCCAACTCATCTTAAAGGTTCTTGATAGTGTTCAGGTCTATGCTTTGGGCAGGTCAGTCCATCCAATTAACACCATTGCCACTATACCAGTTCATGGTGAAACTTGCAACATGATAGCTGATGACGTCATTATGAAAGTAACATGGATCCAACACGTAAAAGCCCCACTGTAGGAAGCACACTGTCATCTAAAATAAAGCAGCAGGTGTCAGTGTTGAGTTTACCATGAATTTGGGCCAAGGGTTCAGTCCATATAAGAAGAAACACACCCAGATCATAATTTCACCTTTGCAGAACTTTAGTGTGGGCACAATGCATTCTGACAGGAGACATTCTCCAGGTAGACACCAGACCCAGACCCTGCCATCCAAACAGTAAAAGGTGAACCTTGAGTCATTGCTCCAGAAAACTCATTTCCATTGATCAATGGTCCATTGTCGGTATGCTTTCCACCCCATTAACCATGAAGCACAGTTGGACTTTGTGATCAAAGGTTTAGAGACAGCAGCATGATCATGGAAACCAAGCAGATGTGCTTTTTTATGGATATTAATCATTGAAACAACACTCGTGGTTGCCTGTTGAAAATCCTGGAGTATATGGGCCATTGGTTGGTGTGGTTCTTCCAAATTTCTCCAGACAATACCTATGAGTCCCCATCTTCCTGTTTCACGGGTCTGCCAACTCAAAGCAGAATCCAAAAATCACCACTTACTTCTGAATCATATAAGCCACTGTTAAATTTGGGTAATTTAGCTCACTAGATATGCTCCTTGAGGATCAGTCATTTTTGGAATATTCAACTACACCTTTTTCAAAATCAGATAACTCTGCATTTTGTGGCATCTTGCATGCCACTAAAGCCAATGTTGTTTCCTACACGATATCATACTTGCCAACCCTAACACTCAAAACTCAGGAGATTTTTTTAAAGAAATCTGGAGATTTTTCACAATGTTAAAAAGACATTTTAAATGAAAAAAAATATAGTTTTTAATAATGAATTAACTTTAAATAGTTACTAGTTCCTAATGCAAGCAACACAAAAATACCTACACATAAAAACATTTTTATTACTTGCATTGTTTAATAAAACAAACAAAAAAAAAGACACTTTAATCAGTTTTCGTACAAATGTTATGATCAGTGGCACATTCGTGCTTAGATAAACTTACAGTAATCGGAAAATGTTTCGTGTGTTGAGAATTGTTTTTTTATTTTGAGAGAAATTTGTATCAGGTTTACACTTTTATTTTGCAGTATTATTTTGAGAACTGCCAGTTGAATTGCTGAATGGTGCCGAAATTACTCTATTTTTCTCAAACCTTTTTAACAATGGAAGTTGTAACTACATCTCCTTACTTTTAGGTCTTTATACTTTCAATTGACCTTTATCTTAAAATCTCGAAGTATTTACTTTTCTTTAAAAAATGCAAGAAGTGGGTTCCATTGATCGAGGATTCTAGATAAGCATTTCTTTAAAGACAGCCAGCCATGTCACATATGTTTCAAAATTTTTCTCATTTCAGTATTATGTAGCTGTTGGAACTGTTTCAATTTTTTCCTTCCTTTTTTAGAACTCCTTTCAAGATAATAATAAATATTAACAATGTGTTCATCCACATTTATTGGTAAAGAAGCTGCACCTTTTTCAGCTGCTAAATTTAAGAGGTGCACATCATAATCTGCAAATTTGAATTTTCCTTTCTTAAGATGCCTGCAACACCAGTCTTCAAGCCTACCATTACTGGTGCAATATCGGCACCAAGTGCTAAGCAATTATCCAGAGGGACTGCATTTTCTTTTAAGTTTTAATAATTAGCTGTGCTATATTAAAGCTGTCGAATGTCCTTCTAAAGTGGGGACAGAAAGTAAACTGCACTCAATTTCTGAAGACTCTGGATTTATAAAAGAAACAACAATAGGATACAGTTTTGAATCGGTATTTATCGCTTCCATCTGTAGAGAGGCAGAACGAAGCTGTTTTAACTGAAGATATTTCTTTAACAATTGCACCTGTTTTGGTCCTTGCATTTGAGTATTTCTTAGTGATTTCACTATCAGCAACATTTTCTAATAAAGCTGCAGCGTGATCCGATGGTATTCAGGGCAGGTTGTGCTCCAGTAAAGTGGCAAAGAACAGACATTCTGCATTAATAACTTTTTGGTCATTTGTTTCCAAAGAAAAAGTATAATTTTTTTTTCAAAAGAATTCATGTTGTCCTTGTGTTTTTGTGTACGCACATGATTGAGGACATCCGCCCTTTCACCATGCGAAATCGAAAAATTGCAATGACAGACAGTACACATCGCAAATTTATTACATTTTCTTGAGGAAATAATGGAAGAAAACTAAAACTATTTCCCAAAGGCACATGTACTCACACAACTCAGGACAAGATGAACGAAATAACTAAAGAACATCCAAATAACAGCCTTGAGCTCATTGGCTAATATATGCCAGATGGCACGCTGTGGAGCTCGATGCCCATTGGAGAATGACGTTTCTGGATACGTATGCTCTCACTCACAAAGCAGAAGTTCTCATCTGATTCACAAGGTTTTGTTTTAGATATAATCTAGAGAAAATGCAATTGCTTTCAGAAGTCCAAAATCACCTTTTTTTTTTTTTTGTTTTTGTTCATATAGCAAAGTATTAAGCCTAGTTCCATAAAAATCATGACAAATTTTAAGAATAAGAAAAAGTCGGGAGAAATATATTGTAATTCGGGTTGGCGGGAGAGCGGTCGAAAATCGGGAGAGTTGGCAACTCTGCGATATTTATGGTGGAGGGCATAACACATATCAGGATAGCAGTTATTGGCATTTGCATAGGTATCCAAATACTTATTATTAGATACTGTATACAGATATGGAGATGAAAACTCTATGGAGAAACAAACATTTTTAATGCCAGAGGCAAAGGAAAAGTTGTTATGGAATGCTCATGTCAATAGGTGGAGGACTGTGGAGTTGGATAGGTCAAGATGGCAGAAGCTGACAGAGACAGCCCTAGCTGGAAACCGGCTGTAGAACATAAGAAGAAGAACAATTTAAAAGTAGACAGAATAATTATAGATATTTAAAAATCATAAAAACAGAGCAGAACTCTTACCTTTCATTTTAGGAGGTCCAATAGTAGATTTTCTATGGGATGTTTTTTCTAAAGCAAATGAAAATGAAAGCTTTTGTATTTTATTTGCCATTTTCTTAAATAAACTGATTTTGCTTTCAAAAATATCAAGTATTTTAATACTCGAAGAATTAATAGAGCTACTACTCTCAAAATTTTGTAAAACTTCAGATGCATTAAATTCGTCATTGTAACTTTTGTTGTTATCATTAATTAAAGCATCACTTATAGAATTTTCGGTTATGTCTTTCATGAAGTTTTGTATGTTCAAATGGGATAAATGCAATGATACAGGTGTTTTTAATTCATAATTTTCATCATTCTTTACCACAGATGTTTTTTGTGGAGGCGAAGGAGATAAGCATTCAGAAGAGAAACTTGAAGAGAAATTATCAGCATTATTAAATAACAAATTTTCATTTATTTCATCTTCATTCACATTATCAGCTTTTCTTTCAGTCAAATCATTTTCAGTAAGTTTAAAAGAATTCTTGCCTGGACTTGAAGATATATGTCTTCCTTTCCCAATATCAACCGGAGAATTTGGGGAATCAGTTCGAGATGATTCCCAGGACTTAAACAACTGTGAATTCACCACATAATTTTCCTCCATGTCAGAAAGCAAACCAGATGTTTCTTTAAATAAATTACTCTCAGTAATATTTTCCTTCCCCAAAAGCAATGCATTATGCTTTTTGATAAAATTAGATACTTTTTCAATACTTGAGTTAAATTCTGAAGTTGTGTCAGCAACTTTTATATTTAATGATTTAAAACTAACTAATGGTGGCGATTTTGCTCTAGAACCATTAATTTTAAGTGCATCATCTTTCTTAGCATCATTTACATAACATTTATCCCCTATTTCTTTATTAGGTGTCCCAGGAATGTTATTAAATAGAAGATCATCATCAAAGATATCACTGCTTCCATCTGCTACTTGTTCAATACATGATTCTGGAGCTTCTTTAAAACTGCAATCTGAAATACTCTTTTTACCCGTGTTAGGTTTTTGTAGATCAAAACTTTCTTCCGATTCAAAAATATCATCACTCATTTCAGCAAGACACCCTCCACTGAATTCTTTCTCACTATCAGAAACTGATTTGTTATAACAAGATTTTGTTTTGATTTCTTCTGTAAAAGAGTTCTCACTAGAATAATGTAGATCTTTTGAAGAAATTTTTGGAGAATTATTTAAAGAAGCTTTGTTATTTGAATTTAAATTAATATTTGTTTTTGAATGGTTTTGTGAATTTAAATAGGAACCATCAGATATGAAATTCATTTGCGATTCAGTTAAACTGGATTTTTTAATACTTTTCTCATTACAGATATCTAAAATACTGGGTGAAGTATCTGAATATTCCCATACAGAATTTTGCTGTTTATCTACATAAGCTGCATTTTCCTTGTCTTGCATAACTAAATTGCTGGATCTACTAGGGTTTATGTTTAAATCTTCATCAGGAAAAATTTCAGAAAGGTAAACAAAATCAGTTTCAGCAGTTTGAGATAAAAAAAGTTCAGAAAATGATGAATCATCTTCTACAGTAGGATCATTTAATGTATTCCCCTCATGAATAGGGAGCTGTGTTAAATCATTTTGTTGTGATAAATCTAATAATTTATCACAAACATTTTGCATCATGATAGAATCAAAATTATTCTTTGTTTCACAGAATGTTTTCAAATTACTAATTTCTGTTTTAGGATTGCAAAGAATATCAATATTTTCCAGATTTACCTTTTCATTTGCAGACACATTATGATTAGATTTGTTAAAATCATCAGTACTTTTGACAATGGAATTTTCTAAATCTTGAATACTAACAATACATCTCTCAATGATATTGACAGTATTCTTTCCAGGCTGAAAGATTTCATTTTTATCCCTGAAAGTAGCACTTAAATTAACAGACTCTTTTTCTGTTTTCTTTCCTTTGGTATTATCTTCAGAATTCACTATTGGTCGGCAGTGTAAAACTGATCTCATTATCTGCAGATTTTCATCACTGTTCTGAAAACTGTTTATTTCAGTATTATCAGATGCTGGAAGAATTACCTTAGAACTTTTGGGAAACTTTGTTTGAATCGGGGTGTTTTGCTGACATAGCTTTGCACTAGTCTTATCATCAGGAGGTATAGTATTTAATGATATATCAGGTTGGTTTGAAATCGAAAGAAGTTCAGAGGATTTTTTATTTAAATTCATGTTTTGTTGGCTTTCCCATGATATATTCTTCACTCCAAGTTCTTGCTTAATGAAATATTGAGCTTCCTCAATTATCATAACTGCAATTTCTTTCTCAGAAACACCATACTTTCCAGTTATTCTGATACGTTTTGCTTCATTGCGATGAACAGCATCTTCATCCAAGCACCCATTAAGTTGCTTTACACTAAAATAAATTTAAAAAAAAATAATTCTACCATTAAAAATCAGCAGTAGATGATAAAATATTTATTGGCATTAAAAAATAGCACAAGAAGATTAAATAGCTTGATGTTTTAGTTACATAAACAGTGTGTTAGATACAAAAATTCAGGGATATATATTCTAAACAACAACAACTAAACTGAAAAGTATACCTATTCTAGCCAGGGAATGGCAAGACTAAAAATGAGCAATTTGCTAAGCAAACCACTCAGAAAACTGCTAATGTTATTCTTATATCTGTTGTTGCTTTTCTTCCGGTTTCTGATGAAGTCCGACAAGGTCCAAAAGACCGTTGATTCTAAGAAAGTCAAGCACAAGGAGGGGACTGGAGTAAATATTCTCCCTTTTTTAGAGAGGCTCAAGCAGCTTGATATGTGCTTGGCAGATGCCTGATGTTCTCAGCACTTGGTGCATGTGGCAAATATTTTAATGCCCTCCTTGAAAGTGAGGCTCATAATATGACTGCTGGTAATACGTGAGAATGCAGTTTGGGAACACCTGCCACATTCAAGGGTTAGACTCAAACCAGACTTGCTGCCCAGGTACCAGAGATAGGTGGGGGCACCAAACACTCCACCATGATTTGTGATGTTTTCAAAGAATATAATTCCAGATAGGTGAGGGTGGAAGAGGAGGGAGTTAAAATGTCACAGCCCTCCTTGGCTAGTTTGCCTGCCATTCCGTTGCCATAAAGATCCACATGAAATGGGAATCCACTGAAAATACCGTATTTATGCGAATCTAATGCGCCATCGAATCTAATGCGCATCCCCATTTTAAAACTTTAAATAATAAAAAAATTGTTTGTCGGCGAATGTAATGCGCATCAACGGTATGAGGAATTTATTGAATCTTATTTTATACAAATATGGATTTGTATAAAAACTATCAATCAATGGTATGATAATTTTATTTAAATTTAGATACCATATTTTATACAACAATGGATTTATACATAAAGTAGCAGAACATAGAATTAACCTATTAGTGGGCTATTGTTCATGTGAAACAATCATTGTTAATTAGCACTACCGTATATACGGTACCTATGTAAAATATGAACATGAAATAAATCGTAACATTTCTATCTAGCTAACAGTTTCTACAATCAGTGATTAATAGTAAACGTCTTTATTCACTAATGTTTTCATCACTGGAATCCTCGCAGCTCTCTTCGTCAGAAGCAGATTCATTTTCTTCTTTCCTCATCATCGTCATCATCGTCATCCTCGGCGTTCCAGAGCACGTCATCGTCACTGCCATTCAATGAATTTGAAATGCAGCATTTCTTGAAAGATTTCACAATCATTGGTGCTTCGATGCTTTTTCCAGGCAGCAGAAACCCAGTGTGCAACAATGTGCGGTGCAGCACGCTTAATTTTTCCTGTCGGGGTCAATACACGGTTTGGCTCACAAAACCATTTTTCGTACTCCGCCTGAACGTACCCCTTAAAAGGTTTATTTATACTAACGTCCAGGGGTTGTAACACAGACGTCATCCCTCCAGGAATGATTACAAGATCACTGCCTAGGCTGTGCATCTTCTTTTTTACGTCGTCGGTGAGATGACCACGAAATGCGTCCAGACAAAGCATTGATGGTGGATTAGAGAGCCCACCGGGACGGCGTTTCCATACATTTCGGAGCCAATCAAGCATTAATGATTCCGTCATCCACCCCTTCTCTTGGTTTCGAATCAGGACATCATCTGGGAACAGCTTTTCATTCTTAGGGGTTTTAGGGCATGTTTTAGGGCATGAAGATTAAGAAAGGGGGAAGTTTGCACCCGTCTGCTGTTATTGCCAGCATCACTGTTACGCGTTGTTTTTCACATCCCGAAGTTTTGATGATAACTTCCTTAGTCCCCTTCTCCGTAATGGTTGTAGTTACGAGGCATATCAAACCAAATTGGCGTCTCGTCAGCGTTGCCAATTTGCCCCATTGAAAAATTCTTTTCCTTCCGAAGTGTGTGATGACATACCGCTGAAATGTTAGTAGTTTTCCCTCAAAATCTGCAGGAAGCTTTTGGCATATTGTTGTACGGCGTCTTAGAGATAAGCCCATCCGCTTCATAAACCGATCCACCCATCCACGGCTAGCCTTAAACTCTTGTTTCGGTATTCCAAGAACTTCAGCCTCCTCTTTTGCTTTATTTCTTATGGTGTCACTAGTCACAGGTTGTCCATTCTTCCTCCTTTCACGTACAAATTCCAAAACTTTTTCTTCAATTTTAGGGTGTCTTCCTTTGCGAGGGCCAGTGAATTTCTTTCTACTAGCTTTAGTTGCAAACAGTGCCAATTTCTGTTGCCGCCACAAGCGAACATTGCTCTCAGCTACGTTGAACTCTCTCCCTGCCTTTCTATTGCCATTTTTTTTTCAGCATAAAGAATTACTTTACGTTTGAAAGTAGCGTCATATGACATTCTTCTCTGTTTGCCCTCCATTTCGTGACTACGTACTCTGCAGTTTGTATCCTCTATGCAATAATGTGTCAACGATAAATGTAACGGTAAATACAGTAATCATTGTCGAGAAATTTGGTTGACGTCATCGGCGAACTTTGCACTCGAATCTAATGCGCCATCGAACCTAATGCGCACCCCAATTTTGAATATTACATTTGGCCAAAAACGATGCGCATTACATTCGCGTAAATACGGTAAATATCATGATGCTGAGAAATTAGGTGTAGTTTCCTGTAGGACAGATATACTAGTCTTTATCGCCTATGTATCCAATTACTAAGATGCTGAAATGAGCTTCGGCTATCAGATAAGATCCATAGATCTTCAAAATTATTCTCCATTACTATAGCTTTGAGCCCTAAATTGATTGCTGTCAGTTCACTTTTGAAAACTGAAAAGTGATCTGGATTTGTTGACGGAGTGGCATTTGTCCTCAGGGGGTCTCAATATAAATACCGCTACCTGTATATTCAGCAATTTTGCTGCCGTCTGTGAAGATCTTGGTAGCATTTTTGGCGATACTGTGTATTACCTCCAAAGCCAACTGTCTAAGGTGGTCAGTAAAATAATCTTATTTATAGGAGTGGAAAAATTACAGCGAAAGTGAACATTGGAGAGTCCCTGTGAAGGGTTTAAACAACATTGTGAATGAGGCTCAACATTGCAAAATAGTAGGCTCTTGGAATCAACTAGGTCAAAAGGGGTGTTTTTCTTTAGCCTTTGTCGGTTTTTCCATTTGTTTAGGAAATTTCTCTTCCAAGTTCTTATCCATGATTGCCACATTGTGGTAGGAGGGTGTTCCTGGGCAGAATGGGCAAAGTATGTTGGGAGTTCACTCCTGGTAGAGTCACCCTCGACATGAAGGCCATTCCAATTTCCCAGCTAAAATTAGAAGGTTAAGGAGCCAAGACAATCTTCTACCTTTTGGTGTTCCTAGTGTACGGACTAACAGAAGCTGCATATGCCCTCCTCCATATGACTTTGTTGACTCAGAAAGTTGATGCTGCATCGTATGTTGTGCAGATTAATCAGGGACATGCTTGAGGTTTAGGCAGAGAGCCTCATTTGGCAAATAAATTACAGTCTCCAGTCACCTTGAAAATTCTGCAAGGTAAAATTAATGGTTTAACGACTACGGCAACCAGAGTCATTCTTATATCTTCTTTTGCTCATCTTTATAGCCTAGCACTTGCCTACAGAGTGAGAATTAATTCTGAGGATCATGGTTTAATAATCAGACGAAGTAAATTTTTAAAAAGCAAGCTGAGTATATTGTTTCTCGTAAAACCAGTCAAAAGAAGCTAATACTCTTAGATACAGGAATGTAAAAAAAGGTCTTCTTTCATACTTTCAAATCATTTTAACAAAGTGCGTGAACCACATTTGGCATTATTATCACTTATAACAAATATGCAAAATTTCAAAATGTGCCAATATGTAAATTCACATATAGCTTAGGAAATTTTGAATAAAAACTCTAATTTTTTGCAGATATGCTTAGAAATACAACTACTTTAAGATGATGGTAAAAATTTTATAGGTTATAATTCAAAGTTTTTTGGTAAAACTTATATAAAGAATTATATAAAGATAGAATTATAAAAATAAATCATAAAAAATAGGCAAATTTTATTTGGAATGAACCTAAAATTAGAAACGTAAAAGGAAGAATAAAGTTTAATAATAATAATAAAAAAAAGAGATACAGTACAAAGTCCGAGATCAGGATATACAATAACCGTAATGATCTAAAATCCGGACCTCAAAACCATCAACAAGCTCTTTTTTCTTTTTCTTTTTTCTCCATACACTTTATGCATGCGCATTTGATTTTTTTCACCCACAATAAAACACGTGGAGAGTCCCGATTTTTAATTTCACTTTGGCACTAAATAAATATTTCTTTATTGAAGAAAAAATAATTTAGCATAAATATGTGTGATTGATAATTTGACTCCGTAGCTGCATATCTGATTGGCATACATCTTAAACTGAAACATTCTACATAGAAACATCATTGATTTTTACACCTACAAATATTTTATATACCTGACGCCAACCTGGCAAATGATTATTTATTATATTCTGCTTCCATCACTGCATGTTTATCAACACATGACAACTTGAGTAATGACTAATGCAGCGATGACCAAACACTTCTTTCTATATTAGTAATTTAATAGCAAAGCATATGGCAAAATTTTAGTGACAGAGAATGTATCTGTATTATTCTTTCCTCTAAATGGTACGCCCGCCATTCAGCCTACGGATATCAGAATAATACGTGCGCTGAAATGCAAATATAATTTTTAAAAGCCATGTTAAATATCTTGATTAATGGCAAGATTATTCAAGAATTTTGTAAATATTTTTGCATAAAATCTGCTTTGTGGTGCAACGCAAAGATCATGAGAAGATGTGTCTCCAGATGTTGGGCATAATTTATGGCCAGCTACCATATTTCATGGTGAGGATGATGAATATGATAGCTGCGAACGTGAAGGTTTTTGGTGAAGGTAAACGAAAGGTTTTTGGTGAAGGTAAACCAAAGGTGAAATTTTTCTCTTAATGAATTTGGTAAAGAAATGTCTAGAAGCGGTAATAAATTAAGATGATATAATAGATGATTTTCATTGCTATGACAATGCCCCAATCATCAATCAAATAATGGATGGCGAAATCTGTAGTATGTTTCTTAATCCAGAAAAGACCGCTACCAATAATGAAGAAAGTGACAGAGTAGTTACTGAAAATGAAAAAATTTCGATTGACAAGTTAGTCAAAATTCTCAACACAACAATTACAGGACTTGAACAATGGAGCTTTTTAACTGAATAAGAAATTATGTCTGCCTGCAGAATTAAAGAGAAAATATTACCACAAAAAAGAAACTTAAACAACTTACATTGAAAGAAATGTTTAATAAAGTAAACAAATAAATATTAAGCTTTTTGGGGAAAATTTTATTACCCTTTAGATCACAAATGCTTCATTATTTCATAAATTGCAATTTTATATTTTTAATTTTATAATTTCTACATGCCATCTTACTAGCTTTAAACTGATGATCTAATATCCGGAAAAATCCTAAATCCGTAATCGCTGAAGTCCTGAAATCTTGCGATTTTTACAAAACTTGGGAACTTTGGCATAATTTGATTTGTAGAATCACAATATGGAAAAAAAATTGTATGTTATTTCAGAAAAAGTCCAATTTTGTGTCAAAATACCTATGTTAGAACAATGCTATATATAAATCTAATATATATTTTAAGTTTCACTTTTGAGAAATGGAAAACGCAAGTTAAATTTCGACAACGGGTCCAGTAAAACAGGGTGATATAAAACTGTCCCCCCCCTCCTTTTTTTTTTTTTTTTTTTGTGTGTGTGTGTGTGCAAGGTGTGCTTTAATACAGAGGGCAGTGTTATTTAGAAAAAAGCATGTTTTATATTAGAACTAAAAACTGGGTACTTGCCTTTAGTGGTCTAGGTCACAGAAAAGAACACTAGCATATTTTGGGCTTAAGATATAGTGATTTGTTGTCAAATGTTATAAACATTCATGAAAACAAAATTAATTACTGTTAATGATAAATCAGCCAATTTATTCAATATTGGAACAGCATAGGTTAATTAAAATATATATAATGAAAGAATTTCGTGCAAATTTTTACTTATTATAGCATTTAATGCAATTTATTTAAATAAAATACTTCAACAGAACTTAACATCTTTCAAATAACTATGTTAAGAATTTATTTGAAATAATAACATATATAAATATGCCAAACATTTTATTCATTCTTTAAACTGATGATTCAATTAATTCAATTATTTTTTTAATTAATACAATTTCTTTTATAAATTCACCCCCAAAAAATACATAAACATACCAGAAAATTCAGCCTTTATATACTCATTCTGGTGCCACAATTTAGCAGCTGCTGCTAATAATGCTTCAAATATCAACTGCAGTTTCTGTTGCTGTTGATGGAAGATTGAAAATAGGGTATTTATGTATTATCCCATCGACCGTGTAAGTAGCGCAATTTGGCACCAAATATGGATAATCATTGTCCTTTAGAATTTAGCAGTAACAACTGATGATTGGCGACCACTGCCAAAATGTTCGTCAAGAATCAGTGGGATAATATATAAGTACTGAAAATAGTAAGCATAATGAGTATTTTACAATGAAAAATCACCATACTGACATAATGCAATTATGAAAAGCCAGTTAGATCATTAACCGTTTGTTTCTCACACACGTGCAGATCAGTATTTGTTTCTCACAAAAGTGAACTGGCGATTATTTGTTTCTTGCCAATGAAGAAATGTGCTAAATATACTTTCTTGCCGAGGCCACTAAGGAAGACAACTACCAAACACTGTAAGACAAAATTTTGCCTTGAGTTAACAGTTGTAATTTATGAGGGAGGGGGAAACCATCTCGGAATGCACACGGTTGATTTATAAATGAAATATCACACATAATTATAAACCAAAAATAGTCAACTATCAAAATGCAGTGTTTTTTCTGAAATCTTCAAATATTTTTAGATATAAGGAAAAGATTTCATATTTTTAATGTATCCCATGTAAATTGCAAACTCTCTTCATGCCTACTAGAACTTACATATAACTTAAAGAACTGTTCACTGATATGAGCCTTAAATTTTATCCAAAACTTTAGCTTACCTAATGGTACTCAAAGAAGATGACACAAATAGTGCAAAATGACATTTTATCTGTGACTTAATAGTTTTTGAAGAAAATAAGAAAAATAACTTGAATAACAATAATAGAAGTATTTTATATTAATACCTTTCAAATGATCCAGCATTGCATAGTAATACTGCTATATTGTTTGGGTGAGCACTAGCAAGTAATGATATTGTTTCATAACCACCATTGTAGAGAATCCTTGCTGTTTGGGCATTGAGAGAGGATAACTGAACAAGATTGCAGAGTTCTTGCTGGATACCAAAATGCAGACGCCGTTGGAAATGGGAAAATATAAGTTCTAAAGTGAACCATCCTAGCCGATTGCAAAATACAGTCAGCATTCCTAGAGATGAAAAGTATTGATTAAAAAGTAAAACTAGTTAAAATATTAAATTTATCAAACTTGTTCAGTGTTTATCATTTTTTACATAATGTAATAATACTTTTTTTTTTCCTCTCTGCTTAAAAAATACACCAAATCCCAAATTATACAATATTTCTGTGATTCTTAGACACATTTCTCCTGCACAAACATCACCAAAAAATGGTGTGGAATCTTGCAATTTTCCCCTGCATTTTGTGCATCATACTCAATGGTTTTTTACTGCATTTTGCACATAGTACTTAACAGTTTACTTCAACACATTTCATTCTTTAAAAAAATGTTGCATCAACAGGGTGACTCAGAAGATAACATATTATGAAATAAGAGGATAAAGATGGTTCAGAAAAATCAAATTCTAAATGTGACATACACTTGGATATTGATTAAGATGTAGTTACTGATAGCTTAGAAGAATCAGATTCTGGCATTAAATGATAACTAACATACTGAATAATAAATAACAATTATCATTATTAAGTAACCAAATTCTATTATAAATAGAAGGCTCTGCATACTTATTAATAAATAACAACTAATGTCATTAAGTAAACAAATTCTGTTACATATAGAAGGCTCTGTTGGTATTTTCCCATTATGCAAATTTCACTCGCTTTTTGGCACCTGTGAAAAAAAAGCTAAAAACACACAGATACCCAACGATAGCAGCATCTAGGAGCTAGACCATTTGTCAGTTTGCCCACATACATGTAAATGCATAACAAGTACATAAAGAAAAAGTACACACACACACATAAAAATGTATGACAGGTGTATGATATAAAAGTATCACTCTGTTTACAAGTATAATACATTCTATCAAATGCCTTACAACAAAGATGTACATAATTAAGATCTTATTGAACAACACACATTTATATGGTAATGATGATGACAGAAATGATGCTGATACTAATAATAACAAATAGAAGTAATCACAAATATATCTAAATACACACAGTAATAACAATAGTGAGATAGTGTGATAATAACAGTATTCTTACACTATAATAAGCTGCTGTAATAATAAATATTGTGTTCTTTCTTTTAATTAACAAAAGAAGCATAAAACAATCTCAAATAAAACCATTGTGATGCAAATCAAATAAATTAATTATAGATATTACATTTACTGCAGACTGACACTAAATTAAAGCTACCTCGATGTTTTACTTTCTGGAGGACATACTTTTGAACAAAGAATTTAAGCTAATGTTTATTGAAAGATGATAAAGATGGTACTAGAGAATCAGGATTTGATTCTAATATTGGAGAAGAAATTTGATTAGACCCTGGAACAACAGACTGTAATTTGATTTTGTTGTTTACCCATGCCACAGTGAGTAACTAGTATTCAAACTGATAATTATAAATTATTCTTATGAAGAAATTTAATCTTTGTTCATGAACACAGAATGCCATGAGTTGAGTTGTTAATTGGAAAATAATTTGCCAAACTATTTGTTGAATGTATTTAAGCATTTTATTTTACTTATTTGATTTTAGAACTAAAGTCCTCCTTCCAGATGATGGCACAGAAATTTAAAAAAAAAAAGAAAAGTGTCATATGTTAATGTCATCTTAGAATCAACGAAATATAGTACATTTAAAAGATGCATAAAAAAAAGAAAAGAAATTTTCAAGTCACACTTCATTAAAATAAAATTGAGACAGATAGAAGCATAAGAACTAACCAGCAAATGTAGATGTCGTCTGCTGGAGGGACTGCAAAATACCACGTGTGCAATCATATTTTGCTGAAACAACAGACAATGGCACTTCTTGAATGAGATCATTTAAAGCTAATGCTGCATAAAATCTTTGATGGATGGCAAGTAAACGTGCATCTCTGTTTATTTTTCCTTGAATTCCAAGGCCAATAAAATTTTCTTTAACTCCAACTAATTCACCCACTCGCTTGTATTCTTTAGGAAGTTGTTCCCACAAAGACAAAAAATGAAACCAGTTTATAGATCCTATTTGATCACTTAAATATGGAGGAGTGACCTACAACATAGATTGAATAATTTACATTTCTTTATCTGAATTAGTCATGAATAAGTCAGTAATTAGTCATGTCAGTTATCAATATATATATATAATACACTCTTAATAATAATAAAAAAAACCTGAAAGGTTTCTGATTTTAAATTGCATACAAAGGAGCAATTTTTTAACATTTTGTGTGTTACCTTTATTTATTAAATATGATGGTCTTCACACTTGAATCATAAAATTCAGTTCAATAGCAATATTGCAAAATAATTTTAAATTGAGCATATCTTTAGAATTTTCGATACACAGTCTCACACGCTGGAGATAAAATTGTTTTTTCTGTAAAATGTTGCCATTGCTCTCTTTGAAATCTTTCAGTTTGTTAATCAAAAATTCATTAAAGTTTTACAAAATATGAAATCGATAATAAAACAAATTTCAAATTTGGGCTTCCAGATGCCCATATTCACAGTAGGATTACGTCACTAAAAACTGGATGGCTCTAGGTACTGTTGTTTCATTACAGTGTGAGAAACATGCATACATTTGTGAAGTTTCTTCATTATCTAATTTCTTCAAATATAATACAGGGCAATAATATTTGGTGGCAACAGTTTGAAAAGTGAAACGGACATTCATAGTGATTCTATGCAAAATCGCAAAACGAAAACAATAGCCCCTCAGGGACAAAGCCTCTTTGGACTGATAATGTTTCTATTATAAATCATCATCTGCAATTTCAAAACTTAATAACATAATATTGATGTGACGCAGATTATGTGCAAAGAACATTTTTTAAGTAGTTTTCCGCGTTCTTTTTAATATTAATTGACAACAAAATTGCGTAAATAAACTGCAATAGTTTCAACAGCTAATAGTTTTTGTAGCACCTGAACAAAACCATTTACAATTATTGTTAATGCTGCTGAAACTAACAGAGGTTTTCCAGATAATAGATCACATTATAAAATTATGTAATTTGTCTAATACCACCATATAAAAAATGTCACATATGACAATACTGGCCAAATATTAAAAAGCCATTAAATATTTCAGAAAAATAGTAACTCAAATTTTCTTTTAGTATTTCCATGTAGATATATAAAATCCACATTTCATCAAAATATTTTCCTCTAATTAAAATGTTTTGTGTTAAGGTTGTAGAGACATTAGGATTTTTTTTTTTTTTTTTTTTTTTAAGCTGGAGAATTGAAAAATATGCAACGCCTCTGCCGGGAATCGAACCGCGGATCTCTGGAATACGTGCAGACCACCACACCCCGAAGGCATGCCAAGAAGGCGGCGGAAGTACCTCATATGGTCACTTTAAAAAGTAAGTAATAACTGAGATATAAATGCTAAATGTGTTTTCATGAATGACTTAATTTAAAGTAAACCATATCCTTGATATATTTTACACATAATTTTCATCCCAAATAAGAGAAAAACTTTAAAAGCTCATAAGTGAAACCTCTTACAATTTTCAACATCTGTTATGTTTTTCACCTGTACAATATATATTTAATGAATTGCAATATTAACATTTCTTTCTTTTATCTTTTCCTCTTCTTTGGACAATTATGTTTAGTTACTGGTCAAGGAATTTTTTTTTTTCCTTTCACTGAATGTTCCTGAACAGTGATACATCATATGGAACAGACACAAAATAGTGCCATATAAATAAATACAAATCCAGAACACGACATAATTAGATGATTAATTATTATTTCAAATGACTTAATTTTAAAGGAGTAAATATAAATTAATGCAAAGAAATAAATATAATTTTTTAATAAATTTATGATTAATAAGCACATAAATGATACTAAAAATTTTTCTTTGCTAATTTGAATTTTGCTAAGGAGTAGAAAATGGGGGGGGGGACAATGATTAATATACTTTGGTTCTGTAATTATTACAAAAAAACATAAACAGAGAAAAGTTCAATCAAACAAAATGAAATAAATAAATAATAAAATAAAAATAATTATTTAAAAGTTAAGAAAATTGCACATACTTCATATAAGATATGAAGATCATTTTCTAGCACAAAACAACGGCGAGCTAATTGGAGTTCTCTCATGACTCTAAGTGCATCATCAGGAGAGAAGCCAGAAGCTAGAACAGCCAATCCAAGCTGGCTTGGTTTATAGCCTATTATATTTGTGTCTAAAATAATAATACATAAAACTGCAGTTTCAGCCATCAGATTTCAGTTTAACACACAAAAGAATCCATCAATTGAGCAGATTAAAAACATTCTTGTAATTAAACAGTAACTAAAAGTAAAATAGAATTAATATGCTAATTCTATTACACTGGCTGAATTTTTTAATAAAGCATAATTTCAGATTTTGCTCACAAAATTTTTGCCATCATTATCCTATAAAGAAAGCAAGCACAATACTATTATGCCTAAATTAAAAATCCAGACAAGAATAAACAGAGGCTTTTAAAATATTCACAATTTAAATAAATATTTTCATGTCATGGTGAATCCAAAATTTTTAATGAAGTATAATTTTGCTCATCAACAAAAATTTTGCCTCAGTTATCCTATTAAGAAGGCAAGCAGAATGCAGTTATTCTTAAATTAAAAATCAGGACAAGAATAAATAGGAGCTTTTAAGTTTACTATTAAAATATTTACAATTTATGTAAGCATTTTTCATGCTGTGGTGAATCCATAAATTTTATAATCATAATGAAATCAGCAACTATGGAATGCTATTAAAATTTGAACGTTCAAAGTATTGTTATAAAAAAGATTAATTTTTAATAATGTTTATAAAGTTTAATTTATAAATTCTAAGACTTTGTGAAAGGGAAAAAATTAAATTATACTGATGGTTATCATATTAGGCTACACTTTATTCTCTCTTGCCATAAAAAAAAAAAAAAAAAAAATTATTGGAGAATAAATTTAAAAAAATCTAAAATTTTCACATTTAATTAAAATTAAAAAAAATAATACAGTTTTAAAACATTAAATGTTTCTGTACTTAATTTTTTTAATAAAAAAGATATAATAAACTAGAAAAAAATCAAATTATTAAAGCTATTATTATTTAAGCTACCATCAGCAGCTTTAGTAAAGTAAAAGAAAGGAACATATAGATGATTGCAACCTATATGTTGCTTTATTTAACATTAAGCTCTATTTCTGATGCAAATGATAATGCATAAATATCACAGGCTTAATAGAAATGAGTATATGAATGTAATACATGATGCTAAATGCATCAATATAAGAATTAATAAAACTTGTTACCATAATTTTGTCAAGAATGGAATATTTTTTTTTAAATGACTAGTTCTATTACTTTTATAAATATGCTCTACTATGCTTTGACAAGTAAATGGAAGAGTATCACCAACATTAATGGTATAAAGGTAATTAATTAAAGAAGTGACATTAAATAATCTCATTCATTTTTTGTTAATCATATGTTTTACATTTCCGTTCACTTTCCATGTTCCAAAAAATAAATGCAAGTAATTTAAGGTAAAAAGAAAAAAAAGGAGGAAATGAAGAAAAGAAAATACATAAAATTGGTAAGTTGAATTTATATTCATTAATATAATATTAATTTTAATAATATACAATTATTAATACAGTCAAAAGTCGTTAATCCGGACTCGTCGGGACTTCGGCGATTCCGGATTATAGATAATCAGTTTAAATCTGGTAAGATGGCATGCATGCAGAAATTATAAAATTAAAAATATGAAACCGTAATTTATGAAATAAAGAACAATTATGATCTAAAGGGTATCAAAATTTAAAAAAAAAAAAAAAAAAAAAAAAAAAAAAAAAAAGCTTAATATTTATTTGTTTACTTTATTAAACATTTCTTTTAATGTAAGTTGTTTAAGTTGCTTTCGTTTTTTATGTGATAATACATTCTCTTTAATTCTATAAACAGACATAATTTCTTGTTCAGTTATAAAGTTCCATTGTTCAAGTCCTGTAATTGCTGTGTCGAGAACTACCGACTAATTTATCAATCGAAATTTTTCCGTTTTCAATAACCTCTGTCACTTTCTTCGCTATCGGAAGCGAATTATAATAACGAGGAATTTGATTTAAATCATATGAAAGACGGAGTACATCGAGATGAAATACTACATTTATAAGGAATTATAAGCCAAATAAAATAAAAACATCTGCCCTGAAGATAAGGATAGTGCTGACAGATCAACTTCCAATTCATTGCACACCCTGGCATTAAAGATAAACAAAGTTTAGAAACGTTAAAGTTTAGATAAAAAGGAAGGCCTTTATCCATTTTTTGCAGCAATTCCACTTTTTGTTTAATGAACTTCGAAACATACTTTCGCTTTGTAGATCCTTTACATATTAATAAATATATATCACAGAAATTCTATTTCACATAATCGAAAGTTCAAGCTTACTTTTATAAAATTGCTCTAATAGTCTGCAAAAAATAATAAGCCGGATCCAATTTGAAGATTAAGGAACAACGCAATCTGCAACATTAACTGAAATAGATAATTTTAGCTTAGCTTATACTGTCCATTGTACATTAAACGCGCACTCGTAAACATATTTTGCATGCACACAAGCATATTCGCAGCCGTAAAGGTCTTACACGCATGCGTCAACGCGACGCATTCGCAGAAAGTTTGTAGCTTTGAGGTCCGAATTATAGATCATTCTGGATTATGGGTGTCTGAATTAACGACTTTTGACTGTATCTACAAACTCCACCTAATAATAGCCTAATTTGTGCTAAAAATATGTCTACCAGACAAAAAGAAAAAAAATCTGATGTGGCTTGCACATGACCTTCTGCTGTTCCATGTTTTAAGTAGCAACAAGCTATAAGTAAAGTATCACTCCTGGTTGATTGTTTGTAAACAAAATCTAATTTGTCATTCCAATAAATAGAAAAGTCTGTAAAACAAAATTTTAGATTCTATTTGATTAGGTATAACTGTCATGCATAAAAACTGATTAAAATTAATTTTATTAACCAGTTGAATAACACAGAATTTAATTGGTTTGTAATCAAAGAAAATTAAGTACTGATAATATTAATTCAGAAGTCAAACAACAAAAATCAGCGTTATATTTACAAAATTTTCACAGGACTAGTTTCGATGGTTTTACCGAACCACCATCTTCAGCTGCAAAACTGCAAATGACCTTTCATAAGTAAAGATGACTCAAGCTACTGAAATTCCCACCTGAAAAATTACTCACAAAAATTTCAAGATGCCCATATTAGAACTTTCATAGCACAAACCACACCTCACCCCTCAAGACTGCTTGGTTTGAATTCATTGCCCCAAAACAACGTAAATAGAAAACATGTACAACAGATGTTTTTTCCTAAGATGGATGTTCTGATGCGTAACAGCATGAGATCACTAAAGGTGCAGTGTTCCCGCTAATGGAACACCCCGTTTTATTAAATGATTCTGCGCATGCTTTTTGTATGAAAAATGTAAAAAAATATATAAAAAATAATATAGAGTACAACCATCAAAATTATATGAAATTTTTTTTTCAAACTTTTTTTTTTTTTTTTTTTTTGCATCTCAAAAAAAAATATAGAAAATTACTAGAAAATAAGTGGATTTTAATAACACATCATAAATGAAAATTCTGGGTCTCCTTGTGATATGCTGCCATTGACGATTTAAAAAGAGAAGTCTGAAGTATATTATAAAGGCATTTTTATCCATTTAAGGTTGAATTTAACGGTTTTAGAAGCGATTCAATTTGGGTATTCCATGTAGTGGAACACTTAGCAACAAAGGGTTAAATTAATTCAAAAAAAGATAAATTGGTTTGAAACATCCGTTATATCTTTCTTTATTCCTGGAACCTACTAGAAAAAGTAAACGAAAACAGAGTACACAGAATAAAAAAATACATTTTACTCAAACAACACCAGCCAATACCACGCAGTCATTACTTTCATGGCAAACATCCCCCCTCTTTGAAATAGTATCCTCCTTTGCATACTTTGTCAAGGTGATTGTGGTGTTGCATTCAAAAGCTTTGCAAATAATTTTACGGGTAGCAGCACAAAGCAAATGATAATATTTTGGAAGGGCATATATATACGCCCATGGCAGTTAATGCATCGGCTGAGCAAGGGGTATAATAATGCCTGCGGCAGTTAAGGGGTTAGAACGAGTCTGATTTCCCATCTCCACATAAATTCTGTGAGATAACTTTCCAGATGATGATGTGCCATTTCTCTGTGTTTCTTATTTCCCCATTTGGTGCTACCCCACAGTCTTTCTATTTTTTTGTGGGTGTGTTCCAGTTTCCGAATCCACAAAATTGTATTTAAGGTTCACTTTGAAATTTTCGAAACTTTTCCAGTTTTTCAGTGCAATATGATTTCCATGAGTCGGAATATATTTTTAGTTCCTTTTTCTATATTTTCCTTTATTGCTGCTAATATAATACTCATGGATCGGTTTGGCACCTCCACAGGGAAACATTCATTTGTTTCATGATAAATTCCACCAAAGATCCACTGTTGCAGAAGAATTCGTCCCGCATCGTTTTCGCGCTTCGTGAACGTACATTCATCCACTTCAAACATAATACAAGGTACTCCTATTTTCCCTTGTTGATGTTTAAGCAAAGAATCCACACAAACCTCATGTAGTTATTCCAGTTCACAACAGTTCCATGACTGATTTCCAACTGCTTTTCCCACCATTTAACTAAAGTTAATTCTTCATTCCAATTATAAATAAACCTCACACACTTCAAGAAAATCTCGATGACTCAAACCATGTGCCTTTCCATATACTTCTTTTACTGCAATAAGTTGAAAGGTTGCAGGGCTATTGAATTTCGTCTCTGAAATATAATTTATTTTCATGATTATTTTCACAAGTAGCAATTTTAGGTGAAACACCTTTTGCTTGAAAGAATCTGACAGATTCTTCCTATGTCTGGGCAAATCTCAAATTTTCATTGGTTTTTCATCCATTTTTGACATATTAGTTAAAAGACATTAATTTAAGAATTTACTATGCTTTCATGCTACTACATCCTGATTCGTCGGTTCACATCATTTGACTCCAAGTGAGCTCATCAGACGCAAACTACACTACAAAAATCTAATTCTCTCAGCAATTATCTGCATTAATTTCAAGTTAAATCTTAATATTGAATACAAGTTTATTGTATCCATATTAAGATTGCATCCTAATTGACTGAATTACCGTGAATGGCCTTAGGGCATAAAACTGAACTATCTGGTAAAAATTCTATGTAATTGTATGCCAGTATTGAAAGAAATGATCAATCTGATAAGAAATGGTTGTGACTTGTTTTGAAAATGTGGTATAAAAGGTTACCAGCGGGGATATTCTGTTTGGAGTCGGTTGTACCAATTTTGCCGACTTTATCGTCTGAGCCGTCAAAATGGAAAAGTACCAGATGATGATACTAAGAAGTTGGCTAGAAAATTCTGCTTTATGTTGCCTGTTGTTAACCCATTTTGGGACAAACATGTCACATGCACACTGGCCACCAAAATTATCTCACGGCTGGATGTGTCATATATGAATCACTATTTAAACTGACCCTTAAAACGGGTATACCACATATGTAATTTTAGATAGAACGTTTAATTAATATTTTTTGTTGCTGCTAGATGTAGCCCTTCGTCTGTCATGGGGGAATTTATTGAGATGGTCAATACATAACTTCATTCCATTGCAATATTTTTTATGTTTTATATATTGTTTCAGAATGTAAGTGGAGATAATTATTCAAATAAACAGAACTGGCTATTAACTGCATCAGCTGATATAAACATATGGCAGTGTTGTTGGTGATTCTGAATACTTTTCTTTAATTTTTGGTGATATGAGGAAATATGCTTTATTGTTTTAAAGATTTTATTCATTCATCTTTTGGCTAGCGTTGAGGTGAATATTTTGTGCATCATTTAGCAAAACTTCTTTTATACTTCAAATGGCAAGGAAAATATAATGATAAAGTTTTATATTTAATTCTAACAAATACCTGAGTGTTCCTCTCATAATGTGGCAAAAATTGAAACAATTGGATCACAAATTTAATTTACGCAATTTTTTCCCAAAGTTAGGCTTAGAACACAAATTGCCCATCCCTCCAAGACAGTGTATCCTGTCATCTCAAGAGAGCAATTGGATGACTGAGACGCCCATCATGAAAAGGTTAAGAAATGAAAAGTTTGGAAATTTTTAACTGATAACAAAATTAACATTAATGCTAAAAATAACTAGATTAAAATTTGAGAACTGTTTATACTTACCATCTGCCGTTTCTTCTTGCTTAAAAATAAATTCATTTTCTATGAGATCATTTAAGCATTTATTAACAGCATATTCAATATCATTCAGAGAAAATTCTGTAGCATGGTCTTCAACTAAACAAGCACTTAATAAAGTACATGAAGCATACTGTAAAACTTCTTCATATGTTCCAGCTATTCCACTAGCTATCACCTACAAACAGAAGAGAATAAAAAAGTAGCCAAAAAGTTAAACAAAAGTTTCTCAATGGATATAATCAAGAATTTTACCTCAATCAATGCACGTTTCATACTAGAACGGACAGAATTGCAGCCAGGCATCAAAAGACAAGACTTTACTGGTGGCAAATGTGACGTTACTATAGACATTGCCAAATTCTTTTCAGTATTTTTGCACAATAAAATACTTTCTCCTAATATAAAATATTTTGCATCAAACAAAACTACTATAAAATAGATACTAAATAATTAATCATTTCTGAGTGTACAAAGCATGACTCTTAACTCAAGTTTTAACATACATTTAAATGACAAAAATATATGTTTAAAACTATTTGCAAAAATTATCACTTATCACTCAGTGTGTTTTTAAAAAGTGCTCTAAAATATTATACATTTAACAGTCTTGCACAAAACAAGAGAATTTATTTACACATGTTTAGAAATATTAGTACAACATCTGAGAAGAAATTGCCAAATTTTCAGAAAGAACCAAACTCTGGAAACCATGTACATAAGAATTCTTCCTTTTTCAGAGCATCCCCCTTTTTCAGTAGCATCCCCCTTTTTCAGAGTCTTTTTTTTTTTTTTTTTTATTTTTTTTTTTTTTTTTATTAAACTTCAAATTCTGGTGGTTTAGGTGAACTGTGTTATTTCCTACTTTAAATAATACATTTGTGAGATTTGCTTGCATAGAGAAAACTGTGGAAAATTTCAAACCAAAAATTTTTAGGAACAAATTTATTTAGAAAAATTTAATAAAAGTAAAATCAATCAGAGAATTTAATTTTAATAATAATATCAATTAATGCATTTACTTTATTTAATGCAAATAATTTTTTTATAATTAATTATATTAAAATTCTGCATTAATTTAATAAAAAATTGGTGGAGGCAATTAATATTGACCCAAGCACATTTGGCATTTTGAAAAACAAATTTGAATTTTTTCAACTGAAAGTTCTTTTATAATCCAGAAATAAGTGATTGTGGTGCACAGACATATACATTTTTCTTCATCCTATTCACAGTATGAATGAGTAGGCACATGCTTTCGACTTAACATCTTCACATTTTTAACTGCTCCTAACACACAGAAATTAAAATATATGAAGAATCATGATATCAGAAGAACTATCTAATGTCTGGTAACTTTAATTCATAACATAATTTCATTGAATGAATGATTCTCATAAAATAATATTTTCCCACTTTAGTTTCTACATTAATCATGAAGATTGTTTTGTGACAATGATTTGGATATTATAAAATAAGTAATATTGTGATCCTAAACAAATATTCTAAATAAATATCAAAGAGAATTTAATAAAATTATTTCAAGCAATTTCCTTTGCACTAATTTAAAAATAATGCTTTAAATTTTCATATCATCAAAATCCCTGATAAAAAGTAAAAATTAATAAATGAGATAAATAATCAAAAACATACATAAAAAGCATTTAGTTCTTTAATTTTTCAGATTCAAATTATGAAAATGTTACAGTTAATCATTAAAATTATGATTACAGAAATAATAACATAAATTGTAATTGGATGTTGAAGCTTTGTATGAAATTTTACAATATGCTGCAATTAAAATAATCAACACATAAACAACCAAAACTTATTTGGGAGTCGAATGCATACCCTTAGTTTCCAGACAGCAATCAGCCACTACTAACCATCACGGTATTAAAATAAATAAATAAATAAATAAAAATAAAAACTTGTATAAAATGCTATATTTCATAGACATCCTGCTTAAATATCAAGTTAGCAAATAAAGTTTTTATTTATTTAGGTTTCTCATGATTTTGAATGATATTACTTATCAAAGAAATTTTTCCCTGTAGATGCATCTTGTATTTAAAGCAAATCATTTTTATAGAAGCTCCTACTTAAGAAGCTATTTGTAGAAAGATGAAAAAATACGAGGCACGTTCAGAAAGTAAGTTTCGTTTCAATTTATCTCCGCTGCAGCTCTGTGATTGCAGTTCTGCACATGCGCAGTAGACGCTCTGTATCAAGGAGAAGAAACGCGCGCCATTTCGAGATCGCTGTCAGTCACGTACGCTTTGTTGTGCTTGTTTACAATGTCGGTGTTGATTGAAAATCCTGCCGCTTGTGAAATCAGATCTGTGATTCATTTTCTGAATGCGAGGAAAGTGAAACCTAGTGAAATTTATCGGCAAATTTGCGATGTTTACGGACCAAAAGCAATGAGTGATTCAATGGTGAGAAGATGGGTCCGAAAGTTCAATGACAGACGTAGTGATGTGCACGATGAAGAACGAAGTGGGCGTCCATCTTTGGTTACAGAAGAACTGATTCACGTGATTGATGACAAGATCATGAAAACCAAAGTTTTACAATTAGTGCTCTCGCTATGGAATTTCCCAAAATTTCACGATCACTAATGCATGAAATTGTTACCGAAAAACTGAAATTTCGTAAACTTTGCTCACGTTGGGTACTTAAGATTCTTACTGAGCAACACAAAACAAAACGGATGGGTAGTGCACTTCAGTTTTTGACCCGTTATGCTGAAAGCGGCGAAGAATTTCTGACACAGATAGTCACAGGAGATGAAACTTGGGTTTCTTACAACACCCCTGAAAGTAAGCGGCAATCAATGGAATGGAGGCACACTTCATCCCCAGCAAAGGTTAAGCCGAAGCAAATCTTGACACCTCGAAAAATTATGTGCACAGTGTTCTGGGACTGGAAAGGCATTTTACTCATTGATTCCTTACCGCGTGGTCAAACAATCAGAGCAGATGCTTATTGTGAGACACTTCGGAAATTGCGCTGCGCAATACAGAATAAGCGCCGAGGATTGCTGTCAAAAGGTGTTTTTTTCTTCACGACAACGCAAAACCACACACTGCAAATGTGACAAAAAACTTCCTACAGGGATTTGGCTGGGCCGTGTTTGACCATCCTCCGTATAGCCCTGACCTCGCTCCTAGCGACTTTCATCTGTTCTTACATCTTAAGTCTTTCCTTGGCGGTCAACACTTCAACAATGACGACGAGCTGAAAGAAACTGTTTCCAACTGGTTGAAGACACAGGCGGCAAATTTCTATGAAGAAGGTATAGAAAAACTTGTGCCACGCTATGACAAATGCCTGCAATATTTCGGCAGTTATGTGGGAAAAGTAGTTTAAGAGTTGTTGAATTTTGTGCAATAAATAACTTTTCTGTAGCTGTATACAATTTACTTTTATTACCAAACGGAACTTACTTTTTGGACATACATTGTACATTAATGCTGCTTCACTGAATGATGTCTTGCAGAACTTTAAAAGTTCTCCAGTTGGATTGGAAAAAGTTTTAACAGTCCTTACATCATTACAATGATTGCATAATTATTCAGTAGCTGCAGTCAATTATGCCACTAGCATCATTGTTCAGCACATTGAAAGAATTGCAATAAATTACATAACTAGCATAGCTGCCATGGATTTCAAAATAATCAAATGCTTTAAATATGTATAAAATAAACTCCACTATTTATTGACTATGTCCTCTTCATTGTGTATATTGGTTGCTACTTCCAAAATATTCAAATGTAAAAGCAAGTGTTCCTATATGGCTCAAATATTATAAAATTTGTATGTTTCAACTTATTCATTCTAATCACCTCTTATATGGCATACAGCTAATATGTAAAATATCAGTGTGATATCAGAGACAGCACACAAGACAATTTAATTGCTGAAAATAAAGCCAGATGAAGTAATTATTGCTTTAAAATATCAAATAGAAAAGGATGAATTATTTGAAATAGTTTAATATGGAATATATGGAAAGTAAAACTGGAAATGAAATTTTAAGACACTATTTTAAATATTTCTTAATTATAATATTTAGCACAGAGTAGCCGAAAAATTACCTTTCTCATCAATTCCTTTTCTTCCAGCTCGGCCAACCATCTGTTTGTAACTAAGTGTATCTATAATTTTTCCACCAAAAAGTGGTGAGCGAATAATAACCCTTCTTGCAGGAAGATTTACTCCAGATGAAAGTGTGGTTGTAGCAACTAAAACTTTTAGTATACCTTGTCTAAATGCTCCTTCAATAATATCTCTTTCATCAAATGTTAATCCTGAAACAAATTGAATACAAACTGTTAAATAAAAATTATGAAAACTACCATGAAATATTAATAATTTTTATTACAGAGTTTTCTAAACTACTAATTTGCTATTTGAACATCAAAAGGAACATGTAATTCATATGTTATTTTGAGCTTAAGTTTAATAGAACAACATGTAAACTGTTCTATATAAAAAATATAATGCAAATGTTCTAATTTAATTAATAGAGAATAAATAACCTGCATGATGGAAGGCAACTCCAAAAGGCACTGTTAAACTTAAAACTTTATCCAATCCAGCTGGAGAACTTTTAAGTTGTTGTAAGACATCATTCAATGCTGCGCCATTAATGTGTTCTCTCAACTTTCCACAAATAGCTTTGTAAGCAGGAGTTTCTATAAAAATGAGTTATTTTTAATGCAAGATGTATCTAGACAAAAAAAAAATTCTTTGACAAATAATATCATTCAAAATCAAAAAAAGAATTTATCGTACAAAAATAAAAAAATAAAAAATTTTATTACCTAACATGATATAAAAACAGGATGTATAAATTACAGCATTTTATACGCGAGTTTTTAGCCCAAATGGATATTCGCCCGGAAGGGCTATTAGTCTCAAAACGGCATCTTGCGTCAAATCACTTTAAATGCCCAAATCACTTTTCAAATTGTTGTCACCGAATATTATCTCCCTGTATTATATTTAAAGAAAATAAATAAGAAAGAATCTACATGAATGTATGTATGTTTCTTGCATTGTGAAAAAACAGCAGTACTTAAGCATCAAATTTTGAATTACATAGTCTCCCCACCCAAACATGGGCCCTAATTTTTAATTTGTTTTATTGTCTATTTCATATTTTGTAAAATTTTAACAAATTTTTCATTAAAAAATTCAGTAATTTCAAAGTGAGCCGTGGCAACACTGTAAGAAATAAAACTTTTTTAGCTCCAGGCTGTCGATTGGATTGAATTATTCAATTATGGCAAAGCACACGAGGGCTATCTGCCTGAAGGGAGTGATGCCTTCGTGGAAGACTTTCTGAGGGAAACTGGCTCGTATACACGTTACACATGGGGAAAACCACGAAAACGTCCATGCAGCCAGCCCGTTCACGGGATTCGAACGTCGGACCAAACTACCAGTGTTCAGCGTCTTTACCGCTCGGCCGCTGGTGGGCGCTCCAGGGTGTGAGACTGTCTAACAGAAATTCTAAAGATATGCTGTTTTTAAATATGTTTAGTCGAAATGCTCTTGAAGTGTGTATGTGTCTGTAAATGAAAAAAACACCTGTTTGGAAGAAATATAAAATCTGAAAGCTTACAGAATCCCCCCTTGAGTGAAAATGAATTTTATGTATAACTATGTCTCAAAACAAGCACTGTTCTAACGCAGTTATTATTTTTTTTTTTTCTTAATTAATTTCAGCAATAAAATGTCATTTGAGGGATTTCTTTCTCTCAAATTATATTTTCATCAATAGAGAATTTCACCTACAGACTTTTAATTGAATAAATAAAAATGCAAAAACATTACAGTAAAAAATACTATTATTTACATATGAGCCCACAACTGATTAGCTGATTATAACAAAGCATTTTCAACAAATTATACCTTTAATTTTAACAAAGAAGAGATCTGAGGCTTTTCAAAAGTAATATTGGTTGCTCTTTAACAACTGAAAAATGTTTTTGCTAAAAATTCTAGATGTATCAATATAAGGTTGAATTCTGTTATTTATTAACAAATTTTCTATATTTATTACCATTAAAGTTTTTGTCTTTGGATGCATCTGTTTCAATAAATTTTATGTATGTGGATTTCAGTCATATCACACAAGAAGAAAAGTATGGAAAATCATGCAAGTCCAGCTGATTCTGAGAGTAATTAGCATGAAACATAAAAATGCTGGAATGCTGCTCATTGAAAAGATAAAGGAACATTTTGGAAGACATTCTGAGTTTACATAGAACTTAAGGTCAATGAAGCCAATTTATTAAAGAATTGTCATCCTCCTCTAAAACAATTTTTTTATTCAAAATAAAATTTCACAGATAAAAAAGCAGGACAAAAAATCCAGATATATCTCAATATAAGGATGGAACAAAAGGACAAAAGAAAATACATAAAATTATATGCATAATATCCTACTGTGCATGAACCTGCTGAAGTGACAAGTTCCTCATTTCTGTGGCTTTCCTCCCTTCAAACACAAACAGCTTCTTTTAACTGATGGACTAATCATCACAGCTTAATAAACAAGATGATGATTTGTACATCTGAATAATTCTATGAAGCAAAACAATCACATGCACTTAAAGACTTTCGGACATGACTCGACACTTAAGATGCCATAAGAATCATCACAGAAAATGAAATTTTCCAATAAACCTTGATTGTTTGTTGAAGAAAATTTGCTTATCTATTTTCATAAGCAAGATGAAAACAATGTATAAACTTCTTAAGTTACTCGTGAGATAGAAGTTATCATTCTTGTCAGGTACAATGATGAAGTCGGTAAGCTACTGAACTCCCTTAACAAAGAGCAGACAATTTATGAGCTTAGAGAATTTTAAGAGCAAAATGAAGAAGCTGGCAGCTCAAACCTGGTAAGCATATGACAATTGCACGCTTGCTAGAGATCTTAACTCAATTGAAAAAAGATTACAGATTTTGGAGAAACTAGATTCTAACAAGGAATGCACTCTAACTACAAAGCAAGCAATAAAAAATTATTAGTTTGCAATTAAGACATTTTGTGTGACAAAAAGAGTCACCAAGTTGACAGATCTATTTATTAAATTTTGTGAAGCCATTGACATCAAAATATCTTTATTTTATGTAGCATTTAAACTTTATACTATTTTGGATTGGTATTTATGAAAACTACATTCTTTATTATAATTCAAAACAAGTGTATTTTTAGCCTTTGGTCTTACTAACTAAAATTCACAGATATTTATACGTTAGATCCTGATTTCCACAAAATATATAGATCTTGATTTCCATAAATCTAACATCCAAATTACACATTATTTATTGGTTCCATGGATTGGATAACGTCAGGCTATTATTATACAATCAGTTTAAGATATCCTTATTCATAAATTCAGTTATCTGTATTTAGAGTAAAAATATTACAAAATTAGAAGACTACTTGAAGTGCATTGGGAATATTCAGTAAATATTGCTGTGCTAGCCCATCACATAAACTTTAATAACACATTTAATGTCGTAACATTTCAATCTAGATTGACAAATTTTCTTTTTTCCACCTTTGGAAGTATTACCCAGAAAAATAACTGAGTAAATTTAGGATGATTAATGTGAAAGAATGTGTAAAGATAGCCTTTAAACTAAAGCATACTAAAGATCAAACCAATTATACAAATTCTTGATTGATTTTAAACTTTCAAAATAATTTGTTTTACAAATGAATGCTACTTTATATCTAAAATAATTTTGACTGCATTAATTAGTTGGATAAATATTGGATGTCTATATTGTAGGGTGCCCGTTGGATTATCATGAAGTTGTTTCATTTATGGTAACCTGAGTCGTTAAATGTTATGGAAATCCTATTATGACATGATTGCAGTGAATTCGACTGATGGGTAACTATTTGTAAGGGCTTATTTTTGCGTTGGATGTCGGTTAGTAAGTATGTTGCATATTTTGTGCTTTACATTATAAAATGGCTGTCAGTGGTAAACTGTGGTAAAGTGGTTCGGTGGTACAGAATGAGAGAGCAAAAGGTTTTCTTATTTATTTATTTATTTATTTATTTATTTTTTTAAGTGGTAGATGACAAAAGAAAAGAAACTTGTTCAGCATGGATGTAGTTCAGCAGAATATTTTACCTGGAACAATCATCATATCAAACTGCTAGAAGCTGTATGATTGTCTTTTTGATAATGGTTTCATTCACTTCTTAATGAAATCACGCAGTGACATTTAAGGATATGGAAACCGGAGCTCATATCAGCACTATCGAAGTTATGAGGAGTGTAATTAAAAGGGGTTTTTGGAAGAAATGATACCAACAGTCCGGCACTACGGAGGATATTTTTTACTCTTATTTTTGTGAATTTATGTGGTGATGGCAGTATGCATATAGTTCAGATAATTTTAGAAAGTTTTTGGATGCTGTGAAGGAATTATGTGTGCCACAGACTGAAGACACAGAAATTTCTAAATAAGGTAAGTCAATATTTACTTTTTGTAGTTGTATATGAGGTAAAATGTATTTCCTTTTTTATGTTATTTATTGTTTGATTTAAAATGCAGTTTATATTGAGATTATATATGTTTTGTTTTAATTATGTGAGTGAAAATAGATCAATATGTACAAAGTCAAGGCAGTGTGCAATGGCGAGTTTGTACAATTCTCTTATTTTTTTTTAAGTGAAAACAGATAGATGTGTACATGGATATCAAGTTTGTGCAATTTTTTGACTAGTTAGTTTGGTTGCGTGTAGTGGCCATCTTAAAATTGTGCCTTGCTGGTCCAAAAAAGAATCGGCAAATAAGCAAGGGGCACCCAACTGTAAACTTTTACCTTTTGTTTTATGTATATATTATTGCATTATGTTTTGCATGCCATTTTACTGGGGAGGGCATTGGATGTAAATAGGAATGGCACCAAAAAATTGCCAATTTTCGCCAAGGGACCTGAAATATATCTCCTTTGAGCCGGGTAGCGAAAATGCGCGCTTATCGCGGAGGCCGGCAGTGTCTTCCGCGAGCGTCTCTCCAGGGCCGGGGGCTTTTTTGCTACTAAGCCTAAATCCATGAAATTTCCAAAGTATCAACGCATTGTTGAATAATGCTCTATAGAGTATTTAAACGGCTTATGCTTTATAGATATTTATATATATATACTTTAATTACCTTATTTCTTGTTTAAATGCATATTTTACACATTTTATTTTAATTATTCACCATTTTAATACTTTTAACATTATACATCTGAAAACTAACTATACTACTTAAAATTCTCTTTTCATATGAAAAATTTCAAAACAGGGATCTACACACAGTCCTACATTACATTCCTTGAACTCATAATAACTCATTTGCCGTTTTGGAGGATTTTTCCGGGAAGGTGAACAAACGAAGCACCGTCGTCTCATTTTCTTATCAGTCTCTTCTGAACAAAGTTTTGGAAAATGTCTTTCAGTTAATCTTTCAGAATCAATATCAGAATATCAGAATTTCAGAATCAATATCTGAAATATTTTGCATCATTTCTGCTATTTCATGCTCTGTTAAACATTTTCGACGCTTCGACATTGAAACGGTAAAAACAGAAAGAATTCACGTCTAACAAGACCTAATTATTTTCTAAAAACTGAACTGTAAACCGAAATACTCAACGCTTTAGCGCATATAAAACTTCTACTTACAATAAACAACTACTACGTGCGAATAAAGTGCGATTTAAAGAGACGTCATAAATCACGCCATTCAGAAACATTTAGTTTTTCGTTTGTTTATATAATCAAAAACACATGTATGTGAGTCATGCTTCTCTCATTTCGTAGAAGGTCTAATGTACATGTATCTGAAACCATATGGGCATACAGTGCCATCTTGTGGCAGAAATTATAGTTTGAAAAACGTTCCAAGGTACTGGCACAAATACGTGACATTTGGTAGAAAACGCAACAATGCTCTGGCACGCCTGCGTGTCGGCCGGTAGATAAGTGTGTTCGTTGCTGGCACATATACGTGACAGTCGGTGCGAAGGGGATACGTTAACCAAATATTGAGGTTTCTAAATTTTAAATAAAGCAGACAAAAAAAAAAAAAAAAAAAAAATCCATTTTATGTTGAGGCATCTCCATTTGTTTTTTTCAAATACATTACGTTGAAAATTGATTTATATAAGAGAGCTTGAAAGTATTTTCCATAAGGAAGAAAATTAATAAAATTTGCTGATTAAAAGATAGTAAAAGAAAGATAATCTTGTATTCGTTACTTCTATACCTTGAATATTTAATTATTGTTTGAGACACTGGCTTGCAAATTAACATTTACAGTATAACTAAGAAGTACACACATGAGTACTTTGCATTAACAGACAAATTTAATTAAGAATAATTCATGAAGTGGGAATACATAAAGTAATATAAAGTCGTTGATTTGAATTTCACTTCTGAGATGGCATTACCATAACAACAGAATACTACACACAATCATTTTATGTTGAAATGGAAATTTTTAACAACTTATTTTTTTACTGAAAGTTAATTTTTATTTTCAAAAGATGCTTTAATTTCAAGATTTTGTAAAGCAGGTGTTGCAGCAGATTTTGTAAAATAAGCTAATGCAATACATGAGTGCAGATTGTATGATTTTCCAATGCAAATATATTAATGTAAATTAAACTTGAACAGAAGCACAACAATGTTTAAAAAGATAATACTGCATTACAGTAGAAAGTCTTTAATCCGGACTCGTCAGGACTTCGGCGATTCCGGATTAAGAGTTTTCCCGAATTATAAATCATCAATTTAAATCTGGTAAGATGGCATGCAGAAATTATAAAATTAAAAATATGAAACTGTAATTTATGAAATAAAGAGCAATTATGATCTAAAAAGTATCAAATTTTACAAAAACAAAAAAAAAAAAAAAAAAAAAAAAAAAAAGCTTAATATTTATTTATTTACTTATTTTTTTTAAACATTTCTTTCAATGCAAGTGTTGTTTAAGTTGCTTCGTTTTATGTGATAATAGTTTCTCTTTAATTCTTTAAACAGACATAATTTCTTGTTCAGTTACAAAGTTTCACTGTTCAAGTCCTGTAATTGCTGTGCCGAGAACACCGATTAACTTGTCAATCGAAATTTTTTCGTTTTCACTAATCTGTCACTTTCTTCATGCCTTTATCCATTTTTTGCAGAAATTCCACTTTTTGTTTGATGGACATCGAAACATGCTTTTGCTTTGTAGATCCTTTGGCAGCTCCAAAAACAGAAACTCTTTTTGACATAATCGAAAGTTCAAGCTTACTTTTTATAAAATTGCTCTAACAGTCTGCAAAAAATAATAGGCCAGATCCAATTAGAATACGGATCAATAAAGAACAACGCAATCTGCAACATTAACTGAAATAGATAATTAGATAATTTTAGCCTAGCTTATACCGTCCGCTATACATTAAACACGCATGCGTAAAGGTATTATGCATATGCATAAACGCTACGCATGCACAGAAAGTTTGTAGCTTTGAGGTCCGGATTAAAGACTTTGCACTGTACTATTTACTTTGCTCTGCTTAATGCTTTCAACGACAAATATTTTTTCCTATTTTTTTTCAGAAATCTCTGCTGATGAAGAAAAGAGACCCATGCTCTGATTGCCTTAAAAACTGATGAATTTTATTAAAAATCTTTGCCAAACTAAAAGTGTTTTTTTTTTCCCCTATTTTTTAAATTTTAATATAAGCTTACAGAAAAAATTTTAAAAAATAGTTATAAAATATAAATATTAAAAATAAATTAGAAAGCATTTTCTGCATTTATAGTTTTTAAAAAAAAGTTAAGCATTTAAAAATATTTTAAGATTTATAAAATGCGTGTATGAAACATAATTGATCCTAAGGTTCCTTTTAATTATTTAAATGAAAAATTACAATTAAGCACGATACTTTTAAGTTTCTTATTTTTAATATATACATATATATATATAAAATATACTTACTGTGAGATTCATTATCATACTTTCCAATATTAAAGATTTCATGAGCAAGATTAGTAGCAAGTTTTTCACACCAGTTTTTAGTTGGGCAAAATACTAATACACCATGACCAGCTGCTATAGTTTCTACAGCCAAATAAATTGCATGATCAGAATCATTTTGAAAAGAAATAGCTGTATGTTTAAGATTTCGAATAGGCATGTTGGTCTTAGAATCATATAAAATATCCCCAATAGTATACATTTCATGCAGAGGGACAGGTCTGAAATCTGTGTGATATAATTCAGAATTTAGCCACTGAGCAAGCACATTCAAATTTGGGAGGGTGGCACTCATACCCACAATCTGTATGTCAATGCTATTCCTATAAAAAGAAAAAAATAAATTCAATAAATCAAAAAACTGAATTTTTCAAAGGATATATTTAGCAATATAACAGGGTGTAATCAGATATCAAAGAACAAATTTGAAACAAGTATTTACAAGGTAAGAATATTTTCTACACATTTAGATTAAGATTATTTATAAAATAATTTAATTGACTCTCATTAAAAATAATGATAAATAATTTTAGATTTGCTTTGTTAGAACTTTAGTCTTATAACATTACTAGACAGGCTGCCAGTTATCACTGGGCCTAAATTAGCATGACAAGACCTACAAAGGTTTTAAACAACCTTTCAATGAACTAAACATTTAACTAAAGAAGGCATGGCTTGTGTTATAGATAACCACTGTTTATGGCAATACAAATTAAATAAAATTGTCAAACAACTTAAACATTGCTCAGCAATCCAAGACTACACAGCTACAAGCTGGCTCAAATAATCTAACAATGCGTAAATTTAAATCAATCAGCTGCAAGGCAGCAGCTAAAAGATCTGCAAAGTTGGTATACTTACATTTAGCTAAAACTGGTAGAATTCTAACAATATTACTACCAAGAAATCTCTCTCTCTCAAGATCCAAAAACCTCATCTTAAATACACTATAAACTAATTTGTAGTCTGGTGAGGAATATGGAAAGAAGTTAAATATCAAAATCATAACTGGTTAGTTTTTAACATAAGAACCCTTACAACTCTTTTGCAAATATCTCCAACAAAATGAAACAGGAGAAGATATATTTAATTGGTATTAATAATTACATTCATAAAAACAAACTTGATTTGAAAACAACATTTGCACAGATGGTGCACAAGCAATGGTGAGCAAGATGAAGGGATTGTGGCGTGCATTTTGGAAGAAGCTATAAATACAGAATTGTAGGCAATGAAAAAGGTAGCCAAAATATTGCACACTAAAGGAAGGTGGCAGAAATCTAGAGGAAAAATGTTATCAAGACTGCTTGAAATGTGTAGCAAGTTATCACTTTTCTTTCATCAAATAATTTGGGTCAAAATTTCTTGAATTTTTAATAAATCTTATACGGTTAACGAGTATTGCTTATTTAGCAGATATATTTAGTAAGCATAATGAGATAATTTATCTTTACAATGAAGAAACATTTTGGTTTTTAATGTAACAGATAAAATAGCATCGTTCAAATAAAAATCAATATTCTGGATTTTTTCACTATTCCTTTTTGTATTTAAATAATTATTGCTAACAGCCAAATCATTCATACTACTATTTTTTTCATCTCTTTGCTAAACCCTTTATTCTTGTTCATTATATTACTTATGCAAACAGAAATTTATTCTCAAACATTAAGAATTTTATTTTGACACTAAATTAAAACTTTTAATAAAATGGATAGAAGAATTCTAATGCCTATAACAAATACCAATTGCATAAAACTCCTGATTTTCCTACTAGGTAATCAGTACTTAAGGCATGTCTTACTTTACCATTTAAAAAGAATCATTTTTGTTAAATTGTGTTCAACTGAAAGTACAATTTTTTTTTTCATTTAGATGCCATAATTACAAATAATACAATCAATAATGGGCACATTTTTGCAAAGGCCTTATTAATATTAAAATTGAAGCTGAAAATAAAATAAATACTGGAATACGAGGTACTAAATTGCATGATCAGAATCATTTTGAAAAGAAATAGCTGTATGTTTAAGATTTCGAGTAGTCATGTTGGTCTTAGAATCATATAAAATATCCCCAATCATAAAATTCTGGGATACGAGAGTCAGAGGTAGCATACAGCAGTTAAATACAGGAAGAGTGATAATAAAAAATCTCAGAGATCAGAAAAATAAATTAGCAAGTACTAAAAGGGGATCACATGATTTTACAGAATTTTGCTGATTATGCATGTACTTTATTATAAAATTTTTTCTAGAACCTTTTCTTGTACCTGTCCAAGTATACCTACAGAATATTCAATCATTTGGATGACAAATGTTCTCATAAATGAGGTTTACTTGTACTGCATTTTAGGTTAAAGTATCTTTGAATGAATGTCTCAAAGGAAAAAAAAAAAAAAAAAAAGTAAACTCTGCTTGCATTACATAGCAGCAGCTCATGTAAATCAGAACATACAGCAGACAGTATTCAAGTACAGTAACACCTATTTAGTTGAATTTTACCTTATTTACTCACGTAATAGTTGCACTTTTTTTGCCAATTTTTCATTGTGAAAGTCTTGGTGCGGCTATTATGTGGGGAAATTTAGTACACAATATTGTACACTTTTATCGATTTCTTTTATTTCAAAACGGGTGCTATGAAACGCCTATAGAGGGCGCTGTACCCCTCCTGTTTCTTCAGTGTAGGATTGGAATTTGTACAAATGAGATGTACTTAACTATGAGTAAAAACTCTTGTAAGGGAGTTGCCGGCCCTAATAATTAGTGGCACAATTAATACTATGCTCTATTTCAGTAACCTTGTAAATAAATTATTTCTTGCTGTGTTCAAAATGAGCCTTTCATCGCCTGTTACATACAAACCTGAACCCCCAAAAAGAAACAAAATTGACAATGTTGATAGTTACAACTTTACTGGATTAGCATAATTTCAGAATGGGGCTGCCACTATTACGCTAGGGCAACTATTATGCGAGTAAACACAGTGCTTGACCAAAATGCCGCTTAACAGTACCCATGGATTAAATAATACGAAAATGTAATATTAAGTCTAACATTGGACTATCTCTGAACTAACACTAAACTGAAGTCATTAAATGACTGGTCTAAAACATAAGTCATTTCTGAACTTTTTTGCATTTCATTGTTTCATTCTTTACAGATAAACCAATTTTTAAAAATGAAAGACAATTCATATCATGCATTGAATGTAAAACTAGTGAACTGCAAAATTTCTATTCAGGAGAGATTTTTCTTGCATATTGCCCATTAAATGGATGAATGATATAGCTAAGTATAGCACAGAGAAAAATTACTCAAAAGAGCATTCATTATTTTAAATACATTCTATGACAGCAGAGCTTAAATTGCACCACAGCCCTTTATTTTATGTAAGTGAACCACAATTTTAGCAGATAAATTTTGTTTTAACTTCTTCTGAATGCAAACCTGTCTTTCCCTCGTACTCAAGCCTTAAAGAGGGGTTGAGACTTAAAAAAAAAAAAAAAAAAAAAAAAAATCCCCCAATCATTATCTTCAGCATGTGAAATGAATTTATGAAAAAGGGTAAATTTTTCATTCCTCAAAGTACTAAAATGTACCATGGCCGTGCACATTCCACGTTAGTGATTTCTTACTGCACAGCTCCTGTAGACTTTCTGAATGGTGCAACTAAACGAGGGGGGATCATTGTTGTCCTTGTACAGAGAAGTCTTACATTTATTCTCACGTTGTTACTGAATCGTATTCAGGAAAAATTTCTGCTTGCTGGCTAGAATTATATCAACAGGGCATCGCAATCAGAATGTCTTGAACTCTTCCCTCTTTATTTTAAAAGCTACACTTTTTTGTTAACTTTCCTTCCATATCCTCGTAGCGTTACCAGACTTCTCACTATTCTTCTTAATACAGCTTTTCCTTGGTGTACTGCAAAATATAGTGGTACCCACAATCCCTTGGAATAGTACATTGCACATATAACCAGGGCTTAAACTCAGAGGTAGATCGTCTGAGCTACTGCTTAGCTTCTAAGTGGAATTGTAGTTCTAGTCAATGCTCCAAATAAGACAAGGTCCCATGTATTTTTTTTTTCTTTTTTTTTTCCCCCTATTTAACTTGTTGAAAATAGAAATTTGTATTTCTTCTGTTCGCGATTGCGCTGAGCAGAAATGGCGAACTATATAATTGTGCAGATGGTTCCTCCTGATGGAGACGGAGAAAGAGAGATGAACAGAGAGAGAAAGGATAGTCTGTTTTCCAAATTCTGATGGTGCTGAAGTCTGACCTCCGTGCTATGCCTATTTAATGATGTTTGCTGATGTGGCCAGCAGCTGTGATTTTCTCAAGCGTGGTGCAGAAACATGAGGCAAGGAGTACTAATAAGGAACAGCATAGTGGAGATAAGAATCTACATAAACATTCTGGATTATCTTTCTACATCGCCATATACTTGCCTAAATGAATGGACTGTTAAGCAAGATTAAGTCATATTGTACCAATCTAGTACATAGGCATGTGATCCATCATATAATTTCATTAATGTGTCATAGTCTGACACGTATGTTCATCTATGTTGTTAAATCTTAAAGATAGAAAGTCACTGATTAAATTTTGTTAATTTTTCAACTTAGTGCAGTTTATACTTCTGTTGCAGAGAACCTAGGTTTTACACCCACCACTCAGTGTTGCCAGAAATTTTTCAACCAAAGTAGCAAAAGAAGACTTAAAAAGTCGCAAAAAAATTGCAAACAATGTCAGAGATCACGTGATTTTTCGTGATGTCGATTTAGTTACGTATGCTCACATGACCTCTGACATCATCACAAATTTACTGTCTATTGGTAAGTTACAGACTGTATTCGATTCTTAATCTTTTTAATTACATTTCTTAGTTTTAACAAAAATTTTAAAACTATATTGCTCATTTTCAATTATTTAAATGCCCATTTCTCTTTTAATTAATTCTCATTTAAGTCTCTGTTTGTAAATTAATTTGTGTGTATTCATTCTTAAGAGATTCCTCGCGTTTAGACTGTTAGCATTTTTGTACAGTACAAAGTCTGTAATCCGGACGTCCAATATCAAGAATGATCTATAATTCGGACCTCAAAGCCACAAAGTTTATGCATGCGCGTAAAGAATGCGCATACATTACGCATGCGCGCATTGAAAGAAATGTTTAATAAAGTAAACAAATAAATATTAAGCTTTTTTTTTTTGGTAAAATTTGATACCCTTTAGATCATAATTGCTCTTTATTTCATAAATTACGGTTTCATATTTTTAATTGTATAATTTCTGCATGCCATCTTACCAGATTTAAATTGATGATCTATAATCTGGAAAAACCCCTAATCCGGAAACGCCGATGTCTCAACGAGAATGTCCTGACGAGTACGGATTAAAGACTTTGTACTGTACTAAATTATTTGAGCTGGCAGTTAATTTTTTTTAATTCAGTGAGTTCCCCTCCCTTATTTGTGAACCTTTGAATTGAGGAATGGTTTTCAGTGAGCTATTTGTTATGTGTGGTGGATCTGTTTCAGATTCTGATTACTTAAGAAAGTCTTGTTCTTTCACTGTTAAATTTATTTTTATTATTTAGAAAAATACAGTTGCTTTGATTAAGTCATTTCCATTGCTTAGTTTTTAGCAATATTATAATATTATAATCAGGAGTATGAGTTTCAGTAGTTCTCTGTTTGGCTACCCAATGTATGGCACACAAGCTGCAAGGTCTTTGGTTCGATTCATTATCACCATAGAACTGGAGAATGGGAAACTGACTTACAAACAAAAATTGCACGGGAAACTAGGGAGGGTGGTTAGAGGTCCCGAAGCATTTTTTTTTTTTTCTTTCTTTCCACTTTTTTACTTCCCTTACCCCTTTCTTGTTATACCGGCATCAGGCAGCACAGCCTTATAATGGAAAGCCCACATGTAAATCAGGTTCCTAGATGCCAACTTCTATTTAAGCCTAAATAAACTGTTTTTTTTTAAATATAAATCATTTTTAATTGATACTTTAGTTTAACATAAAGCATTTTACGATACATTAAAAAAATCCTCGAAGCATAAGACAATGATGGATGTTGCAAAAATTTCACAAAATCGCAAATGATAAAATTTTAGTAGTACAAGTTTGTCAAATGTCGCAAATTTGCGAAAAATTACACGATCTGGCAACACTGTCACCATTACGCATAAGTCTCAAGGTTTATTAAAGAACCAAATCTTCAAATACAATATAACTATTTAAAATTAGTTTAATAATTTATTAGATTTCTCTTTATCTCTTTATATTTCTCTTAATTTAAGTTTAATTACTTATTTATTTTAATTTTTAGCTATCTTATTTATTTTTTCTTTTGTTTTTCAGTTTTCTATAGGGCTCTGGCACTTCTAATTTTATAAATTAAGCCCTATATGAGAATGATATATACATAAATATACATCTGATCAAAACTGCACAGATGAGTGACAAAATGAAAATATATACTTTTGCTGAAAAATACAGTTCAATTTTAAGTAAAAAAAATGCTTTTCATTTTTAAGTAAGGAAAATACATAATTCCTTTTTTTAAAAAAACCTTAAACCCCATAGCCAAATAGCACAACCAATACTGCAATACCTAATAAAACAAATTAGTTGAATGCTGCAGAAACAGGAGATCAACATCAGCAGGCCAAAAGTGAAACACTTGTTAAATAAGATCAGGATTGGGCAAAATGGATTAAAAAAAAAAAAAAAAAATGGAAAACTTTGAAGTTATTTATGAACATGTCTTTCTTGCTGAAGAATTCATATTCATTAACTAATCTTCATTTTTTCGAAATTCTCACTTGTTTAGTAAATTTTAGGTAACTTAAAAATTTTTTAACTTAGCTGAAGAAAAAATCCAAAATTGAAACAAGTCAAATTTAAAGTCCCCAGCCTAGCTCTTGAAAAGACCAGAAACTACTGTAATATACTTAATGAAGTTTAAAGGAACAATGGTTTCTGAAACAGTATATATCTTCTAGATATGATTGTTCCAAATTATTTGGAAACACCATATCCATTTCCAGCTTATCTCTTATTGAATAAATATTCTTGTATGTTTAAATTAATCTTGTGCATTTAAATTAAAGTTATTAATTAATTAACAATTCCATTTTTTGTATGGAGGGGGGAAAATAATCTAAACAGAAAATAAAACATAAGAAAAGTCATTTTGTACCAAGGAAAAAATATTTAATACTGAAAAGTAATAAAACATTTTAAAGACTTTTCATTTTTATTATTTGAGATACGTGTCCAAAATAGTAACAAATACAGCTTTTAGTTATCACAATATTTAAAAATAAAATCTCGTTATTGCCACAAGTAAAGGATTTAAAATTTTGAAAGAAATTTAAACAAACTGAATATAGTAATTTTTATAAATAACATTTTTACGGCATTAGTTCTATTCTTTCTTGAAGTTTTATTAGTGCCCCAGTGCATTTCTTATAATGGGGTCTTGTAATTTTATATTTAGTCACATACGATCAAGAATATTGCGATAGTTAAAAAAGACTCTTTTTCTTTTTACTTTCCAATGCACTTAAAATCTGCTTTAACTTACTTTTTGCAACTATAAAGCAATTTTGTAAGCAGCAGCTCTAATAAATAACCTCTGCTATGATCACCTAACATGTGGAGTTCATCAATCACTAACACACCTATAAGGAATGGGAAATAAATTAAATGTCTAAAAAGAGTATAATGATAAATATATTATTTAATTAGTCACATTGATTAGAGCAGTCATTTTTAAAGATTGAAAATAATTATTAAAATATTTTGGTTCTTTTAAATTAACATATATTTTCACTCACTAAAAGGAACAGTTATAGTGAAAACTGCATATTATTATTATATTCTGATCTTTTCACATTTATACTGTAATAAGATCTACAATTGAAAAATTCTTAATCTTGTGTTTTTTACTATTATTATTTCTGCTGAAGTGGCCTTTGTGGGCTTTCATTAATATTGAACAAATTCTAAGAAACTTTTAAAATAAAAATCTTTATACAGTACAAAGTCTGTAATCTGGACTCGTCGGGACTTCGGCAATTCCGGATTATAGATCATCAATTTAAACGAACTGGTAAGATGGCATGCAGAAATTATACAATTAAAAATATGAAACCATAATTTATGAAATAAAGAGCAATTATGATCTAGAGGGTATCAAAATTTAGAAAAAAAAAAGCTTAATATTTATTTGTTTACCTTATTAAACATTTCTTTCAATGTAAGTTGTTTAAGTTGCTTCATTTTTTGTGCTAATACTTTCTCTTTAATTCTATAAATAGACATAATTTCTTATTCAGTTACAAAGTTCCATTGTTCAAGTCCTGTAATTGCTGTGTCGAGAATACTGACTAACTTGTCAATCGAATTTTTTTCACTTTCAATAACATCTGTCACTTTCTTCACTATCGGTTCTGGTATTTTCTGGATCTAGAACCATACTACAGATTTCACCGGCCGTTAATTGATTGATGATTGGGGCATTGTTGTTGCAATGAAAAACTTCTGTTATATCATCTTCATTTATTACCGCTTCTCCACATTTCTTTACAAAATCCAATAACTGGAAAATTTCACCTTTAGTTTGCGACGTCCGAAAACCTTCAAATTCGCGGCTATCATTTCCATTGTCCTCACCATGAAATATGGTAGCTGGCCATAAATTATGTCAAGCACTTTTTGAATGTACATGGAGACACATCCTCCCATGATCTTGCAATGCTCAACACAGCAGATTTTTTGCTAAAAATTTTCAAAAAGTCTTGAATAGTCTTGCCATTGTTCAAGAAAGTTAACATAGATTTTAAAAATGCTATTTTATATTTGCATTTCAGCACGTGCACTATTCCCATATCCATAGGCTGAATGATAGACGTACAATTGGAGGGAAGAATAATACGGATACATTATCTTTTACTAAAACTTTAAGTGAAGTATGCGCCAGACAGTTGTCAACAATCAGGACTATTTTTGAGTCATCAGGTAAGCCAACCGAATTCAAATGTCGCCGAGCCTCAGGTATAAAATGATTTTCAAACTAATCATTCATCAATGATTGTGTCATCCATGCTCTTTTGTTTGCGCGATATATAACAGGGAAAATCATTATTTCTTTAAATGTTCGAGGTCGTGCATGATTTCTGATTACGAAAAGTTTGCACTTGCACACTTCTGCAGCATTTGAGTATGCTAAAATTGTTAGTCTCGCTTTGGAATCTTTGACACCAGTTAGATCTGTTTCTGTGACACCAGTTAGATCTGTTTCTGTGACACCAGTTAGATCTGTTTCTGTGACACCAGTTAGATCTGTTTCTGTAGAGGTTGCCAAGGTATTTCGTGGTACATATAGCCAGAAAAGACCAGTTTCATCAGCATTGTAAATTTATTCTGGAGATAACTGTGCACTAGTAATGAGTTCAATGAATTCATCTACAAATTGTTCAGCAGCTTCAGTATCAGCTGAAGCTTTTTAACCTGAAATTTTTAATTGTCTTATACCATGGAGATTTTTAAATTTGGTTAACCAACCTCTTCAATATGTGCACTCAGTGTTTCATTTCTTCATGAAATATTTTGGCTTGAACCATTAGCATCGGACCCGTCAATGGCACGGCCTCGCTGCTACGCTGTCTGACCCATTCAATCATCACTTTGTCATGACCGTCACTTTTAGTATAACGAACCCTTTTTCTGTTATTCATTGCGATTGGGGTGTCAGAATCCACAAAAAATTCAAAAAGTTTCTTTTTCTTTTTGCTTATGTAATATACAGTTGACTTTCTAATGTCATACTCCTCGCATAATTTTCAGACGGATATGCCTTTATCCACTTTTTGCAGCAATTCCACTTTTTGTTTGATGGACGTGCTTTCACTTTGTAGATCCTTTGGCAGCTCCAGAATTGGAAACTCTTTTTGACATAATCAAAAGTTCAAGCTTAATTTTTATAAAATTGCTCTAACAGTCTGCAAAAAATAATAAACCGGATCCAATTAGAAGAACATGCATGCATAAATGCACTACGCACATGCATAAACACATTACACGCATGTGTAAAGCATACTGAAAGAAAATAAGTTTGTGGCTATGAGGTCCGGATTATAGATCATTCTGGATAATGGACGTTAGGATTACGGACTTTGTACTGTATTATGTTGTTCATTTACATTACATACAATAAGAATACTGGAGTGAAATATGTTTTAAACTATGCTGGTGGAAGTATGGTTGAAAATTCGAAGAGTTGGCTCTTCGCATACCCTTCTAGTTTCCTGTTTGGATTAAAGGCCTTTCTTACATTAGTCTGGATATTTTTATGCTTAAAGATGTTTGTATCATAATGTAAAAAATATCTAACTGCTAAGAGAAATAACACAAAATTTAACTAAGCCATGTGAAACAATTTACTGTTCTGAAACAAGCACTTAATGTTGTGTTAGTTATCCTTCCAATAAATACTGAGACTTTTCTATGTCACACATTATATACTATACAGTCAAAAGTCGTTGATCCAGACACCCATAATCCGGAATGATCTATAATCTGGACCTCAAAGCTACAAACTTTCTGCGCATGCGTCAACGCATAATGCATTCATGCATGCGCATAGGCGTGCATAAAACTTTTACGCATGCACATAATACATTTACGCATGTGCGTTTAATGTATAACGGACGGTATTAGCTAAGCTAAAATTATCTATTTCAGTTAATTTTGCAGATTACGTTGTTCCTTAATCTTCGAATTGGATCCGGCTTTATTATTTTTTGCAGACTGTTAGAGCAATTTTATAAAGGTAAGCTTGAACTTTCGATTATGTCAAATAGAATTTCCTGCTGGAGCTGCCAAAGGATCTGCAAAGCGAAAGCATGTTTCGATATCCATTAAACAAAAAGTGGAACTGCTGCAAAAAATGGATAAAGGCATGAAGAAAGTGACAGAGAGGTGATTTGTTTCTCTAACCATTCCGAAATCTGTTTATCAATTTCACGCTGCTCTGCGGAAGAGGGGGAAAACGTTGTGACGCGCAATGAACTGGAAGTTGATCTGTCAGCACTATCCTCATCTTCAGGGCAGATGTTTTTATTTTATTCAGCTTATAATTCCTCACTAAATGTAGTGTTTCATCTCAATGTACTACAATATAATTTAAATCAATTTCTTCATCATTATAAATATCACAAATACACATCGAATAGTTTTCTGGTTGCAATTTTCTAATTTTGATTATGCGTAATCCTTTACGCATGCGCGCGTTGAAAGAAATCTTTAATAAAATAAACAAATAAATATTAAGCTTTTTTTTTGTAAATTTTGATAAACTTTAGATCATAACTGCTCTTTATTTCATAAATTACGGTTTCATATTTTTAATTTTATAATTTCTGTATGCCATCTTACCAGATTTAAACTGATGATCTATAATCCGGAAAAACCGATAATCCGGAATCACCGAAGTCCCGACGAGTCCGGATTAAAGACTTTTGACTGTACATATATATATATTGGGCCATATAAAAAGTCTCACATGGTTTCTTTGGCACATTTTTTAACAAAAATTTTCTTTATTGAATATCAGTTTTAATCAAGTACATAGTGACCATTGTTTTCTATGACCTTTTACCACTTTTCAGATAGCTTCATAATTCCATCAGTGTAGGACTGTGGTTTATCATCGAAAAACTTGGCCAAGTGATTTTCAGCAGTGCTTCGTTCGGCCAATTTTTTACCATCAAAAGAGTTTTAAAGAGACCGAAACAAATGGTAATCAGGTGGTGCAAGGTCTGGGCTATGTGGTGGATGCATTAGAACCTACCAACCAAGTTCCGTTAATTTGTTCTGAATCATCAAAGATGTGGGTGGATGCACATAGTGATAATGGAACACAAGTCCCTTTCTGTTAGCCAATTCTGCTCGCTCATTCTGGATTGCTTTGTTCAAACAGTCAAGTTGTGCACAGTACAGGACCGAATTGATGGTTTGACTAGGTTGCAGCAGCTCATAATGGACAATTTCCTTCCAATCCCGCCAACACTCAGCATATACTTGTTTGGCGAAAATACAGGCTCTGAAGTCATTTATGGAGGGTCACCAGCCTTTGACCATGATCACTTGCGTTTGATATTCTCGTATTTCATCCATTTTTTATTGGTTGTAATGATTCCCTTCAGAAATGGTTCAATTTTGTTGCATTTCACTGATGGTAATTCGGTGAATCAAATTTCTTCACGTTAATTCATGTGACACTCAAACATCGAGCTTCTTTTTGTAGCCTGCTCTTTTCAAATGATTCCAAACTGTCATGTGTTAGATGTTTAGTGCCTCCACTATTTCCTGACAGCTCGTGACCCGGTTTTGTTCTAACAGTTGCAAAATTCCATCAACTTTTTGAGTGACTGGCCGACCAGAGTGAGGTGCATCTTTGACACCAAAATTTCCAGAACGGAATCAAGCAAACCACTCCTGGGTCCTTCGTTCCCTCACAGCATTCTCACTGTATACTTCACAAATTTTTTGGCATGTTTTTGCTGCATTTCTACCTTTATTATAGTAAAAAAGCATTACATAGAGTATTTCTTCAAATATTTTACTCATTTTCAAATCAATATAACTTTTTACACAAGCAACGAATTAAATAACTACCTTCACAAACAATGGAAGCTGAATGTCATCTCTTAAGCACATGTTTGTTTAAGACAGTCGGGTGAGTGTTGCTGGATGTATAGGCATCAACACCATCTGATACATTCTACTGAATTTATATTAGGAGATAATACAATCAATATTTCTTTAGTAAATAAATATATATTAGTATAGATAGATAGTACACAAATAAGGATATATATTAGTATAGATAGATAGATTAATAGTAGATAAACAAATAAATAAATTACAATAAGGTGCTGATGAGTAATTATGAGATAAAACCAGATGTATAAACAAAAAGTTACTGAAAAATCTTAAATTTTGTAAGTTAAAAAATGGTAATTAACACATGCAAGTGAGAACTGAGAATTTGACGAAAAGCATGCAAAATACATCTACAAAGAGTGACCAATACTGATTCTGATTCTAAGCTTTCAAACTTGAGGACAATGTTTTCTGAAACATTATCTCGTAGACCATCCTAATAAAATATGTGTTCTCTCTCTCTCTCTAAAATAAAAAGGATGTAAATAAAAGGAAGGAAATTCGGCCTATTTATCTAACCCTATTAATAATAGAAATTAAGGTAAAATAGTTTTCAATCAAAGTCAATAAAATTAGAAAAATTTCAATGTAGATATGTGGTTGAAAAAGCAGTCTTTAAGCAAATATTTACCTAATTCTTCCAACCTTTTATTTTCTATCAGTCTGTTCACAAGATTGTTTGCTTTCTCTATGGTACAAATAGCGATATCTACTGCTGTGAAACCACCAGGAGGATGATGGGCACCCATATAACCACCAGTTACCAGACCAGCATTTTGAAACATTTCCTACATAAGATTAAGAAACTATAAAAATAACTGCAGCATGAAAAAATAATAATAATAAATGTAGCTTAAAATAAATATTCACAAATGGAAATTGATATCACTCCACATAACCTACAGCCACATTACTGCAGATAACTATTAAATAATTGCATTAAATTTAATTCCTATTTGGCTTACATCTTAGAGACAAAAAACAATTTCACTACATAATAGTTTGTTTACATAATTATCTGGCTTTAATAGTCTTATACCTGAGTTCACCATTTACTAGGTTCATTGCACAATAGTTTGCCTACATCACTATCTGGTTCTAAAAGTCTTATAACTGAGTTCATCACATACCAATTTCACTACATAACAGCCTATAAAGGCACTTCTAGAATACAGAAAAATTTCAGAATGCATATTTTTCTATTCCAACTATAAGATTCAGAGTTATAAGGCATTTTTAAGTTAAAAAATTGTGAAATCTAACTTTTCATACAATTCCTGGGTTCCTACACTTATATTTTAGAAAACCGTATACACATTTGAAAAATAATATTCAAAAAAATATCACCTCAGTACAATAAAAATTGACTTTAATTTTAAAGTTTAATATTTAGGGGCCCTACACAAGAGTGAAATGTTTGCATTTGTAAGTAAATAAAAGTAAAATATCAATTAAAGGGAAAAATCAATATTCATTGATTGAGTAATGAGCATATTTAAGTAGATTTCTACGAAAAGTATTAAACAAAAACAGTCTCCCCGCAAGAAAAAGGTAGATTATTCCCAGAAGATTATAGAATTTATATTCTAGAAGATAACAGTAGGTTTCAACATTAACACATGGCCAATACATAACATTATTCAGATAAAGACAAAAAAAAAAAAAAGTTTAATGAATTTTTTGTATTAAACTCATTTTTGTAAAAATGAATTAGACAAATTCCCAATCTATATTTCCACGCATATAAAATCATCTCAGTAGATACTTATCCAATCATAATGAAATCCGATACATTTCTATGATTCAATCAGAATGAAATATGGTAAATTTCTATGTGCATTGGTTTTTAACAAGAAATGACGTAGGCAGTTAAGCAAAGATATAGCAATGCAATGCTGACAGAGCAGCAGGTTAGGGAAGAAAGAATGGCGTAGTTAATTCACCAGCGGTATTTATACCAAGTCTGTTGTAATTGTAGAGACAAGCTATGATTGGTTAATTTGAGATTGTTACATAACAAAGAATGATCTCAAATTTGGGAGAACAGATGAACTTAGGGAAAGAGCACCAAATCTAGAATAATAATTTTGAGGTCGCTAATTATTTTTAAAGCAGCTATCATATTTTGTTATATCTTACATATATATATATACATTGTTCAGAATAAGGCAAAAAATGATCTGTCTCATCTTCATGCCATAAAAGTAAAATCAGGAACTGTTTCATAGTCTTTGTCCACTTTAATTTTAGAAAAAATTATAAGATAAAAAACATAAATTTATACTTAATTGAGTTGGGAAAATGTCACTTATGCAGAATATAAATTAATAACTAACCTGCAAGTGATAGACTTTTTCTCGAACCACAGAAACAAAAGGCAAAATCATTATGGCCTTCTTCTTAGTTTCAAGAACCTTTTTCAGCATCAATATTTCAGCAACCAATGTTTTTCCTGCACTGGTGGGAGCAGAGAAAACTAAGTTATTCCCATTTAACACACTATTCATAGACAGACATTCTGCTTGCCAAGGAAACATGTTTGTAATATTATTGGATAAGTAAGCTAAAACTACAGGCTCAGGAAGATTCCAGCTCGCCAGGTCACAAAAATTTTCTAAAAGAAAAGAATTACAGACTAGAAAATTATAACTTAAGCATTTCAGAAAAAAGAAAAAAAAGTTTTAAGCCTTTTAAAAAGATATTTTTTTTCAAACTTTCTTTCAATCTCAATAGGATTAGAGCAAATTTTCTCTTCTTTTGATTTATCAATCCAAAATTACACATAGGTTATTGCAAACTATGAGGGTTGGTTTATCTGATTATAACAAAGCACTTGAAGGCTATCTGCCTAAGAAAAGAAATGCCTTCACGAAGGACTTTCTAAGGGAAACTGTTTCATATGCATGTTATACGAAGAAAAAACTACAAAATTGCCCATGTAGCCAGCCCTTCACCAGGATTCGAGCCCCCGAACCAAACTACCAGTGTTTAGCAACTTCACTGCTTGGCCACTAGTGGGCTGTGGGAGAGGGAACCATTTTGTGAAACTGCATAAATGAATATTTAAATTCAATTTTGGAATTTATTTTATTTCCCATTTTTTCCTGAATAAATTTGTTTATTTGTGTTTTTTCTTTTATTATGAACTGAAATTCAATATCTAGTTAATCTATTCAAATTTACATTGAGGAAAAAAATTCCTGAATTGACGTTCATTCTTCCAACTATTTGCAACAATGTCTTTGCACATTTAGACACAAACAGTCATAGACACTCATAGACACAAACAGGCTACGACATTTGCATTTTCATGCACATTTAATGATTGGCAGCCCATTAATGGAAAAATATACTATCTTACTATTAATTGTAACTATCATATCACTAATTAATTTAAATACAAATATATACATATTAATTAATAATATTATAGTGCAATATATACATGAAATAATAGCAAGGAAAAGACGGAGCAATGTTGATACGTAATAGCTATAAGGATAGATCGTAGATCCATAGTGCAGAGGAAGAATTCTGATTGCGTAGTATGCTAATGTTTACTTTGTGATATATAAAAAACTTGGCAGTCAAAGCAGTTTTAATTCTATCTTTATTTTCCAGTTGACGTTTGTTGCCACAATTCACTTGGCACTCTAGTCATGCCTATTACATTTTTAATATAATTGCAATAGCAAGCAAGACAGCGAAATTACATTCTAGAAGGATAGAGAGTGAAGCTGAAGTGTGTAGTTATCAGGGCTGTGGAGTTGGTAGGGAAAATGACTGACTCCGACTACTGGAATTTTGAAGACTCCGATTCGACTCCCTCATATATATATACAGTCAAAAGTCGTTAATCCGGACTCGTCGGGACTTTGATTCCGGATTATAGATCATCAGTTTAAATCTGTTAAGATGACATGCAGAAATAATAAAATTAAAAATATGAAACCATAATTTATGAAATAAAGAACAATTATCATCTAAAGGGTATCAAAATTTACAAAAAAAGCTTAATATTTATTTGTTTACTTTATTAAACATTTCTTTCAATGTAAGTTGTTTAAGTTGCTTCGTTTTATATGATAATACTTTCTCTTTAATTCTATAAACAGATATAATTTCTTCTTCAGTTCCGCTGTTGAAGTCCTATAATTGCTGTGTCAAGAATACCGCCTAATTTGTCAATCGAAATTTTTCGTTTTCAATAACCTCTGTGTCACTTTCTTCACTATCGGAAGCGAATTATAATGACGAGGAACTTGATTTAAATCATATCTAAGACGAAGAACATCGAGATGGATTACTACATTTAGTAAGGAATTATAAGCTAAATAAAATAAAAACATCTGCCCTGAAGATAAGGATAGTGCCGACAGATCAACTTCCAATCCATTGCATGCTGCACCCCCCCTCCCCGCCCCGCAGAGCAGCGTGAAATTGATAACATATTTCGTTAAAGTTTCAGATAATCAAAGGATATGCCTTTATCCATTTTTTGCAGCAATTATACTTTCTGTTTAATGGACTTCAAAACATACTTTCGCTTTGTAGATCCTTTACACATTAGTAAATATATATCAGAAATTCTATTTGACATAATCGAAAGTTCAAGCTTACTTTTATAAAATTGCTCTAACAGTCTGCAAAAAATAATAAGGCATATCCAATTCGAAGATTAAGGAACAACGCAATCTGCAACATTAACTGAATTAGATAATTTTAGCTTAGCTTATACCGTCCATTATACATTAAACGCGCACGCGTAAACGTATTATGTGCATGCGCACACGCATATTCGCAGCTGTAAAGGTCTTACGCGCATGCATCAGCACGCGTGGAATGTTTGTAGCTTTGAGGTCCGGATTATAGATCATTCCGGATTCTGGGTGTCCGAATTAACGACTTTTAACTGTATATGTAAACATATAGATATGGGTTACAGCTAATTTTTTTAATATAAAAGATGTAATAGATGCTACAGAAAAAAAAAAAAAAAAAAAAAGATGACATAGCAAATTATTTATATTAATTAGCATTTATTATGAAATGGAAAAACTGGCATTAGTTATTTCTAAGAAACAGTATAGCTTCGGCAAAACCTTTGTTGGAGAGCCATAGATCCGATTTGATAAACTTCAGAGCTGAGAGAGTCTTTCCACATTAACTTGAGTAGGAGGAAGAGCTATTACTGTTAGGGCTACTTCTTTTAACTTTTCAGGATAGATTTTTATAAGTTCTAAAAGAGGTGTCTTGCAAGCGCAATCATATTTCTCTATTTCTTCAAAAGCCATGTAGAAATCTTCGCTTTGTATTTTTTCATTTTTATATCTAAAGGCTCCTGGTTCTTTATTTTCATTCACTTTGCCTTAGCCTTTTCAATATTATCCAAAAATATTTCTCAAAATCTAATTCACCTTTGGAAGAGAATGATAGAGACTCAATTGCAATGTCTGAAGTTTGGCTGTCCTGATTTCAGTTTTTCTAATTGTTCTGAGAATAACTTCATTTTTAATGAAAGTTCATAGATGGTTTTCTTTGCCTTTTTAATTTGTTCCTCATCCAAGAAAATTCGGTGTTTCGGATCTACATATATTGAACACAGCAAGATCTCATTGTTTAACTAACAATTAGTTTCTCTTTTCTTCATTGAAGAAATGATTCCTTTTGCAATAAACCCTCCATTTCAAAAAGAACAAACATCATAGTCGGGTCCATTCACACCTCTTGTTTTTTTTTTTTTTTTTTTTTTTTTGTGGCTATATACGGTGTAGAAAGAAGCTTTTCCAAATCTGCAAGATCATTCCACAGTCTTTCTGTTAGTGAAACATTAGGATTATCTACATCTTCTAAAAAAGTTCTTAATTCTAAAAACCTCTTTATCTTGATCAATAATTGCTCCTTTTTCCTGCTCGCTTCCTAAGAATGGCATCAATTTTGGGAGTTCTTGCTGCTGTTGCTGCTTACTTAAATTTAACAGCGAGATTTGTAACTAAATGAATCAGTTCAATCACTAATGGCACATATCAATTCCAGCCTCCTCCCTTATATTTATTTATAATACGTCAATAAAATAGAAAATAACTATTCATTAATGTATATAGATAAAAATAATAACTCAGCTTGTCATTAATTTTTTTCAATTCATTTTAATTTCATTTCAAATTCAAACTGTCCAACAAAAATTGGAGTCGGAGTCGACCTGTTTTTAGCGACTCCAGCTCCGACTCCTTTTACCCCAAAATTTGCCCGACTCCAATTCCACAGCCCTGGTAGTTATGCAATATAGAAGCACACGAAGAGAAAAGTTTTGGTTTGAGTTAAAAGATTCAGTTCCCAATTATTATGTCATCAACACTGTGCAGGACGTGCAAAATGGAATGATTTAGAAATTATGCAATCCAGAGAAGTTATTACGATTGAACAAAAAAGATGCTGAAATTTTTTTTAAATTATGTTTAATATCATTTAATTTGTATTACTCTTATAAAAACACACTAATACACATAAAAATGTCTAAACAGTAATCATATCATTATCATAGTTTCTAACAACAGAATTACAAAGAATATCCAATAATTATTTTGATGGAATTGCAAAAAAATAAACTTCTTGCCTTTTTTACTTCGAAAATACTGTCTGCGAATGGCTGAAAAGGTTAAATCAGCAATTCATCTTGATACAGTTTCTATGGCTGAATGGGCTGTGAATGGCTGACTGAAGAATTTGGCTCTTATGAATATGCAGGTACTTATGATTTTTCTCAGTTTCTTTCAGCAAGCTCATAAGAGTTTGGCAATTATACATAATTTAATTATATATATATTCATTAAATCATGTATCATCAAGCCATGATAAAATCTAATAATTTTATTATGATTAAAATTTTTAGCTTAATTTAAAATGGAAGGTAAATAATGAATTAATCTTTCAATATATTTATGTATACCTTGAAGGCACTTCTCTATAAGAAGCAGATATTCATAATTTTGACAAATTTGCTGTTTGCAGATTTTCTGACTCTAAACATAAGGTGACACTGATTTTCAAAAAATAAAGGCTTTCTCCCAAAAGACAGCTTAATAAAGGTACATTTGACTTGAATTATTCATATACTTAATTCATGCAGGATGCTAGCTGCATTGATTGCCTAAAATGAAAAAAATACTGTCAATTCACACTAAAGGAACAAGACTGAATTTGTCACTCTCAGATTTTACAGGTAAAGGTAGAAAGAAGTGGGCTGGCTACTAGAATTCAGGGTTCGTACACATTTCCTTACATGAAAATTAAGGACTTTTAAGGACCATCAAAGAAAAAATTAAGGACCTATCAGCAAACAAACAAACAAAAAAAAAAAAAAAAAAAAAAGAATAGAATAAAGCACCTATCCATTTAAGAAACTAACAAAAGTGTGTATTATGCACTATTATTAAATTCAATTTAATACTTAACATAAAACAATTTTGAAAATTAAACTAACTCGCTACAAGTTATGAAGAAGATAACATTAAATTAAGAGCATAATTTCTTGAAAAACTTGTATAAGTGTATTTCACACTAATAACAGCCACAGATATTTTAGAGATTTACATGATTATTATTTAACTTATTTGATATTTATTTAAACACAGTCAACTACTATTATAATTGCAATGTAAGAATATTTTGCAGATTAAAATAACAGATTTGTAAACATACAATTTATTTCTTTGGTTTTTTGAAAGATACTAGAATAATAAACTATGCAATAAAAGATACAAAACATTTATGCTTTTTTAAAATCTGAAATTTTTTCAGATATTTTAACATCTAATTTATTTATGTCTATTTCATTTTCTTTAACTATTCTTCTAAGTTTATTTGCTTTGATAAACAAATCAATGTTCCTGCTCGTCTCAGCTTCATCTGCTAAAAGCGTCTATCGAAGCTGCTGCTGATCTCATTTCTTAATTAATTTCGATATTAAGAATACCTCCAGAAAATTTTATGTAATCAAATTCTGTGCATTGAGAAATGTATGATGAGTCACTTAAATTTTCAATTTCAACTGCTTTATTTACAGAGAAGCCCCTTTCCACAGAGGCCTGTCCATGTGACAAGATAAGAATCATTTTCAACTATTTTCCATACTTTTAGAATAGTGAGGAAATCATGAAAATAAGAAGTGAGAAATGTGTCAAGAGAAAGATTTTTAAGATCAAAAGTAGAAAATTCATGTAAATTTGTCTTAACTACTTTGTCCTAGAAACTCTCCAAACTGCAGCAGAATTTCATCACAATCATCTTGTAAAACACATGTTTATTCTGCGTTAATACCGTTAGAACTATTTTCAATTTTGTTCTGGGCTTTTTCTGGACTTTTAGCCATCAATCGTGGGTCTATACAAGATGCATTTCGAAATAAGAATAAGAATAATTATGGACATTTAGCCATTAAGTGTTGTGTACCATTGTTAAGACACATTGTTGACCTTTGTTTCAATGCAAAACTTGCAGCTTGTGAAATGTCCTTCTTGCGGCATTTATCATTCATTAACTGCTCAGCAATGAATCCCAAATAAACTTTACTTTTATCATTATAACAATTTGGATCATTAAAATTAAATTTATAAAGATTTTCTGCTTTAGTTATTTTTGAATATTCTAGTTTCAAAATTTTAAAGTGCTAAAAGCAATCATTTACAAGTTTTAAGATATCTTCAGCAAAAAAGGTAATAAGTGGTTTATCGCTTTGATAATATTCAAGGAAAGGCAATAATATTTTCGAAAGAGAGAGAAAAAAATTTAATTTTATAAGAAATGTTTTATCCTTAGTAGCCTCCTAAATATTTGAGAAGGATTTCAATGAATTTTTTTTAAACTGCCCCATTTCAACTTTTTTAACGTATAGTAGCAAGTCATCTCATATTTCAATGGCTCTTTCAACTGCTGGGACATTTTGCAACCATCGGTAAAAGCAGAATTTCACAGCAGAAAATTTTATTCAAAACATTATTTCTTTATCTATCAGATGTTGGAGCAAAGATAAAAATTCTGCAATAATTGGTTTTATTGTTAAACAAAAATGTATGAATTTTTCTTAAGCATTATATTTTAACACTTAAAAAATGAACTATATAGATAAAAAATTTCTACATCGCGAAATATTCTAGGCAAGCATTTCTGCAGAGATTCCGTTACATCACTAAAATTGCCATAAGAATGCTATATTGGCAACACCATGAACACGTTTTCTCCGTGTAGCAACCATTTCGCTTTCATTGTCATTTTCATTGTCATGTGTATTATGTCATTTTCTTTTAATTTATTAATCTTCCGTTTCTTTTATTTTTTCCTTATCATTTCAGCACTTACTTTTTATTCAGGATTTAGCTTTCATTTTAATTTCTAGTTATAAATAGGTGAAATTAGCTTAATAACAAAAGATAATTTCAATCATTATCACAATGAAATTTTATATCGACCAACTATTTGGATAACTGATGTGATATTAAAATTCAATAACATTCTTCTGAAAGCAGTATTCCTTTTATAAAAATACTTAATAAAATTCTAGTATACGGTGCAGCCTTGGTGCAATTTTGAAAATTATCGCCAACACCAAAATGACCTGTTTAACTACTCATTGTATATGCCCCGTTTACTGCTCATCATAAAGTTGCCAAAAGTAGCCAAATCCCTTATGCAACGGATACCTTGTGCATAGGATTAAACCAAATACTTAATTGTCTATTGAAGCTTCAAAACGTATTTCTGAACTTCACTTTTTTTTTGGCTAGCGTTACCGAATTTGCCCTTGGCGACCTAAAATCGAAATGGAGCCAATAGATTTCCTGCGAAATCGATAGCAGACCCTCTGCAGAAATAAACTCATAATCCCAATATCCCATACATATATGTGCCTAATTTATGGCTTAATTCAAACAAACACAGAAATTAAGGTAAGCAAAACCGTGTAAAAACAAATTGAAATGATAAAACAAAACTTAGCTTTCATGTGAATTTTCAGCGCTGACTCTCCCATTCTAGAAATTTCAATTTGTTTCAGACAAAGACCACATTTAGCTTTATAAGGATTGTCATCCATCAATATCCAGTCTTTGTAGTCAGCTTGATGAAGCCACAGTTTATTGAAAATGCACTTTCCAGGCATCTCATTCCTATTGGCGTCGGAAGGGGTTGTGGCCTTCCAGGTTGGGAATTGTTCTAATTTTGGCAAATATTTTCAGAATACCCCCCCTTTTTTTCCTCGAGCACCTTCATCATCACTTTCGCCTCTTAAAGAACTTCCAGCTTCACGCTTTCGTCACAATCTGCCATAAATTTATGGATAACACCTGTTTCAAATGATTGGGTGAATAGCCAATCAGACCCCGATACTTTCGTCCTAGGGTAGCTAATTGTTTTTTTATCGTTTGCAACGCAAATCCGCCAACAGATTGGTTAAGAGCCATGTAATTTTAATTCCATATTCATGAGAAATCGCACTTCACGCTTATAATGGCAATCATTAGAAATGATAAGAAATGTCAAATGAGCAAAATTAAGGACCGTTTATTCATTTTGACCAAAATTAAGGACTTTTAAGGACAAAAATCATTTTTGAAAAATTTAAGGACTTTTAAGGACCGTATGAACCTTGGAATTTCACCATTGGTCAAACAGGTATAATCCCATCATGCTAACTGTACAGCTTTATCTCAGTTTTGATGGAGAACACCTGAGATCCAAAGTCTCAGGCCTCTCTTGCTCTAAAACCAAACTACTCAAGAGAGCTTTTGTTTTGCAAACATCCATGCTTTCTCTCAGATTTAGACCTGGGCCCAATGATATGGCAGTCAGCATCGCTACCATACTGCTCAGGACAGCTCTCAGATGTTGCTACAAAAGAAGTTATATGGCTTTACAGACATTATTTTGAAGACATAAAAATCAAAATTAAGAGGAAAACAGCCGAAAACATAATGCTACAAATTAGCTAACTTCTTTGGTCCTTGCTATAAAAAACTCAGTTAATGTAATTAATAGATATTTAATTTCCCAAGTCTTAAAAATTTCAAATGTAATTTTCAGTAATAATTATTAGCCTAACTGCAATCTTTGGCTCAGAATTAATTAAAACTAATCAAAAGGTATTTGCGCCTTTGAAAATATTTAGTGAACATTGGCTATAAATGCATTAGTTAATTATTTAGGAAAATTAAAAAAATATCATTTTACTCACCATTATTTTGATTTTCCTTTGCTGTAGAAGTTTTCTTATCAATTAATGATGAATCTGTTACCTGACTATGTTTCTTACTAATGAAAGATGTATCTGTATCAAAATCTGGACTGCAATGAGAAAAGATGTTATATGTTTTAGCTCTCACAGTTTTTACCATTTTAGTTTCCTTGGACTTACTTCTAGACGATGCAAATTCTCTGTCAATTTCATCTTTGAATGATTTATTACGAGTGCAACAGGCATCCTTTAACAAAAAAGACATACTGAATATGAAGAAGTGCTTAAATTTTCAAAAGCTAATTAAAATAGAATATGAATGAAATGGATATTTTCAATGATACAGGTATTGCTAAAGCAAAATATTAGCAATTCTGCTTTATTTCTGATTTTATCTTCTAAGGAAAAAAAAAAAAAAAATGCTTCTTAGTAAATATTATTGAAATGAAAAATGTATTTCAAAAGTGAAACTAAAGGAAAAAAAGAGGGAGGAAAAAAACAAGTTGTTGCAATTCTATTTTAAAATGACAGAACTGAAGCAATTTCATCCGATTTTTCTTCCTATATGAACTGCTTTTTTAACAGCTAATATCACAAATATATTTATATATTTAATTAAGGAATTTTTATTGAAGTTCAAATTGCATTTACACATCAACCATACAAATACTGCTTTAATTAACCCTTTAACACATTAATAATTCAGTCAGGGCATAGAGTTTATCAATAAGATTTAATACAATTAGACATATAAACAATATCATACTTTATAGTCATAGTAGTAGTCTATTTTTACTTAATTTTAGAATAACTATAATACTGTAACAATTCTTGGTTGCCTATTTCATTCGCACTTGAATTTATTTTATTTTATTTTATTTTTTTATTTTTAATCTTACATTATAAAATAAACTTGTAGAGACATTAGGTATTTTTCAGAAGCGGGAGAATTGAAAAATTATCAAACGTCTTTGCCGGGAATCGAACCGCGGACCTCTGGATACCGGCCCAGTGTGCAGAACCATTATACCACACGAAGGCAGGAGAAATACCTTGCATACTTCCCCTTTTAAAGGATGACTGTTTTTTTTTTTTTTTTTTTTTCCAGGGGACCCAATTGCCAAATCCTGAGTGTGGAGAGTCCTCATCCACAACTCTTTTAGTTCCGGCACCACTGTAGAGACATTAGGTTAATTGGAAAATCCAGAGATGAAAAAAGAGCAGACGGCTTCTCTGGGAATCGAACCACGGACCTCTGGAATACCGGCCCAGTGTGCAGAACCACTATACCACGAAGGCACGCTAGGAAGAAGGGAGAAATACCTTATAAACTTATAGTATTAAGATTTTGTATTAAGTTGACTATTTCTAGGTGAATTGTAATTAAAATTGTTTTATATCCCCGTGCAATGCAGCACAAATTTTAATAACATTTTAATAATTCTCTTATTTTAAGAGAAAGCCACACTGGAAAGGAAATACAGGAGCATGCACATTTAACATTTAATAAATAGATATCTTGTAATTTATGTTTAAATTGAATAAATGCAATTGTATATTAGCTGTAATTGTAATTCTAATCTTTTGCTTTCCAGAAACCGAGAAAATAAAAATTACCAGATTGTTCTAACAAATGATTAAAAAGCTTTAAAAAGCCAGAGAAAAACATCTCAGTTTAGCTGTTTACTAAGTTGTTTTAGAGAGCTCTTGTTGTTTACTTAGCTGCTGTAATTTTGAGATCGAATTAGCTTTCTCTGCGCTTTGAATTGTGTTCTATTTAACGTTTTAGTAGTTTAAAATATAACTACTGCGTGATATTGTACAAATATCTGTGAAGAAAAATTTCAGCATTTTGTTTTATTTCTTGTGATAAGAATAAATTTTATTAACTTTTCATCAGACTTCTGCATTCAATCTATTACGAACCCGTACGTACGCGTGCAACAATATTATTATTATCGCAGAAAGAGTCAACATATTATTCATTGATATAACTACTTTGCATTCACTTCCACTAATTACAGAAATAAGAACCAATAATTGCATCATGCTTAAACTAGAAAAAGTCACAGGAAGAATGACCTGCGATGCATACAGAAACAAGATAGTTAAAAAAAATGCCTAAATAAGAAAAAATAGTGGCTTGAGAATGTACTTTTCAGTACATTACATATTTAAATGTACTGCATTTAAAATAATGTAAATTAGTAATAACTAAAGAGTGAAAAACAGTTTTAATGTTAAATGCTCTTTCCTCCCTTGATTACAAAATAAAAGTAATAGTTTTTATATAAAATTTCTTTAAAAAGCTGTTTTTTCATTTTAGGTGCTATAAATATAATATAGTCATGATAACTGTAATTTAATAGAGTATGTGCCCTTTTTTTTAGCTGTTTATCAGTTTTCATGCAATTAATACTATTATCTAACTGTTTTTATTTGCTTATTGTTTACTGTATTTCTTTTATACTAATATCATGTTTCATTACTATATATTTCATATAATTTTAATTTGTGAGCACTTAAAGTGATTTTATAGGTTAAAATGTTTTATTACTTCATAATACTTTTAATTTGGGGTGAATAGTTGTTGAAACTGTGAAAATAATTTAAGGATAATTAGAAATGAAGGTTTTTGAAGACTACAGAGTCTTTGCAACAAATTCTGACACCAAAGAGGTAATATTATATTATTGCTCTTTAAATTGGCTATATATTGGAAGTTGTCAAGAAACACATTTTCAAAAAAGCCAAAATTGACTTTTTAGAAAGTTCTGGTGGCATGTTCCCTTTCATCTCCTCTTTAGTTAAGAGTATAAGTATGTTGAAATAATACGCTGTAAATTGAGAGACCCAAGTTAACTGAAAATTAGTTTAGCTTCTTTACAGGTTGACATAGTACTTACTAAGTAATTGGCATTAAAAGTTCATTACTTTTGCTTTGTGCAAAAGAGCACAAAAGTGTAATCTCACATTTCTTCTTGAGCTTTTCTGCGATCTAGTTCAGTTTTCTCAGCCGCCAGTCTGCAAACACTATTTGCTGGTCCTTTCAATTGTTTAAGACTTACAGTTTTGTATATGTCAACATTATGTCAGTAGTCCAAATTACTAACCTCACTGGTCCGAGATAAAACAATGAAATATTTTACCAGTCCTACGAGTAAATTGCATTGAGAAACACTGATCTAGTTTGTTTATCAAAACTGTTATTTTTTTAAACTGCAATTAGATCTAAATCTTCTATTTATCTAGCTTATTTAATCAGATCATTGTGGACCATAAACATACAATAATATAAATACAAATATATATATGAGTAATGATTTAGAAGTTAATTTATACAGACAGTAGCAATCATTGAAGCTGGCTGAACATTTCTTTTATCATTAACAAACACAGCTACAAACAACTTAATACAAAAATCACATCTGTTCCTTAAGAAATACATCAGTATCATTTAGATTTTTGAAGAACATCTGAAGTAGCAGTGGACAGCAAGCAGATTGGAGGTTGATAGGATAGCAGCGAGAGACAGAATGCAACATATCTAAAATGAAATCCCCATCCAGAATAATTTAGTTTCAATTGAGATTTGTTCCCAATGGCTAATTTTTTCCCAAATTTGATGTCATTATAAGCCAAAACAGCACTTTTCCATTTTGCCGGCGCAAGTGATAAAGTCGCCAAAAATGGTACAACCAATGCCAAATGGAATATCCTCTCTGGTAACCTTTTATGCCTAATTTTCAAAACAAGTCGCATCCATTTCTTATTAGATTGATGGTTTCTCTTAATACTGGCATACAGTTACATAAGAATTTTTACCAGATAGTTCAATTTTATGCCCTAAGGCCATTCGCGGTAATTAAGTCAATTAGGATGCAATCACACAGCTCACCTGAAGGCTAAACTGTAGGAAAAGCAAAGGGTTAAATTCATCAATTCTAATGCGAATGCACTAGCAAAGTAAAGCACTGCAGTTTTACATAATTTCTGAGTAAGCTATTCGTACGAAATGAAATAATTCTTGCATTTAAACTTGTATTCTAAATTAAGATTTAACTTCAAATTATTGTAGATAATTACAGAGACAATTAGACTTTTGTAGCGTAGTTTACGTGAAATGAGATCACTTGGGGTCACGTGATATGAAACGGCGAATCAGGATGTTGTACCATGAAAGCATAATAAATTCTTAAATTAATGTCTTTTTACAAAATTTTAAATGATATTAAAATGTTTATGCCTTCAAAATAAAAATTTCTTAGAACTAACATTTGCTAATATTTTTTTATGTGTATACTGTGTGTTGTCGCCAATAAAGTCTGCTTGGCGAGATTTGTGCCGACGAAATGGAAAAGTACCGCCAAAACTTTAAGGAAGTACCTGTATCATTAGTGTCATGCAAGAATTATATGACATGGATTAATTTTGAAATGATGCAGTTTAGAGAAATTCATTACAATTAGTTACTGCTTTTAAAATGCAAGGGGGAGATAATAAAACTAAAATAGACATTTATGGTTTTTGTATGTTCATTTTCATGTCGGTTTTGCATGTCCGAGATCGAGTCATTGCCACTTCAACAATTCCAGATTTGGAATTTTTCTGGATATTATGTCATCAGTTTAAATCTAGTAAGATGACATATAGAAATTATAAAATTGAAAATATGAAATAGTGATTTATGAAATAATGAAGCATTTATGACCTTAAAGAAATTGAAATTTAAAAGATAAAGAAATAAACAAAGCTCAGTATTTAATTGTTTGCTTTATTAAAAAGTGGTCACATCAGCTCTGGCCCTGATCCTTGGGTTTTACTGAATAAAAAATCAACTATTTTTATTTCAAACAGCACTTAATGTAATCTTCTGGTGTATGAGCATAATTTAATCAGAGCTGATGAAGACACAATAAAGGCATTCATTGATGCAAACCAGCGAATAACAACTCACGAGATTGCTGATAGATTAAATTTATGGAATTCGACCGTGCATGATAATTCGAAATGCCTAAATTTAACTTCAAAGCTCAACATATGGATTTCTCACATTCTTAAGCTCTTCTTTAGCTTCAACTGGCCTTTCAGAATGCGATGCATCTTCAAGTTCAAAATTTTGAAATTTTGCAAAAGAGTTTTGGCTCTGGTATCCTGTCA